AGCGAGTCAGATACTTAGCCCTAAATCAGAGCAATAATGACTACGAGTCCACTATGTCACTACCCAATGACTGCAGAGAAGATCTTTTATGGTGGGAGAACAACATCATGACATGAAAACTTATAATTATTGTTTAGAGATATTTACAGATAGCTCCCTCACAGGATGGGGAGCTTGCTGTGGTAGAAGTCAACGCATGGTTTCGTCAAAAACAGACAAAATTAACCACATTAACTACCTTGAGTTGTTAGCAGTTTATAATGGATTAAAATGCTTCGCTCGCAGCTTTTCGAATGGCAACATCTTTATTAGAGCAGATAATTGAACAGCAATATCATATATAAACAAAATGAGTAGCATTCAATTTCCTAAACTGAGCTCACTTGCTAGAAAAATATGGCAATGGTGCGAAGCTAGGAATACTTGGCTATTTGCATCGTACATCAATACGAAAAGCAATTATGAAGCAGATAAAGAGTCACGCGTTATAGAAGAAAACAAGGAATGGGAACTGTCAGGCGAGGATTCTCTTCTATAAAAACTAATCTAGGGGTCGCTGATGTAGATTTATTCGCGTCCAATATAAACTCAACGTGTGCCAAATATGTATCATGGCGTAAAGATCCCGGCTCCATAGCAGTGGATGCATTCACCTTAAACTGGAGGGATATAAACTTTTACGCTTTTCCCCCATTTTGTCTAATACTGAAAACGATCCATAAGATTATACAGAACCAGACAAAAGGGATAGTAGTCTTGCCAGACTCGCCCACACAGCCTTGGTACCCTTTACTCTCAAAATACGCCTCAGGAGAACCTGTGATCTTCTCACCCAGCCATAATCTGCTATCATCACCTTTCAGCTCAATACATACCCTGGCAGGAGACCTACAGTTGATGGCAGTGAGATTATCAAACAAGTCTTTATATCTCAAGGAGTCGACGAACCAGCAGCAAACGTAATGTTGGCAGCTATCTCGGACTCAACCATCAAACAATATAGCAACACCTACAATTTATGGTCCAAGTACTGTGCCGAAAACAATTTAGATGTCTTCAGAGCGCCAGTCATAAAGGTAATACAATTTCTGCAAGAATTATTCTTCAAAAGTCAGCGCTGTCGCTAATTCTCCATGATGACCTAGCCACAAGCCCATTAACAAGAAGATTCCTGAGAGGCATTGCTCGCGAGCGACCACAAATGCCAAAGCACAGCTATACCTGGGATCCAGTCATAGTCCTTCGATACCTTGAGGGACTGAGTGACACTTGCTCATTGCAATTATTAAACCACAAAGTTGTAACGTTGCTTGGATTAGTAACAGGAGGACGACTGCAGACCACTTCATTGATCCGATAACCAATATAATCACCAATGCAGATAAAATTCAAATACGCATCTCAGATACCATCAAAACAACCATGACATCTAGAATGCAACCATGCTTACAAATACCTTTTTCCCTGCCAATAAAAAGATATGCCCCACATCTACATTGCTCAGATATATCGATGCAACTAAGGACTTGCGTCATAGAGAGGACTACTTATTTAATCACATTTTCTGGAACGCATAGCCGAGCTTCTAAACAAACCATAAGTAGATGGGAGAAATGTACATTGAAGGATGCAGGGGTGGACATCTCCCTTTTCAAGCCCCACTCTACAAGGCACTCTGCTGCTTCAGCAGCTAGTAGAGTAGGGGTCAGCGTTGAAGAGATATGCAGGATAGCTGGCTGGTCTGAGGGCACATCAACTTTCGCAAAATTTTATAACAGACCCTTACAGGAAACCAGGAACTTTGCTTTTTCCATTCTTGAAGCTACCAGTAATAGCAACTGAGCCAGAAAGGGGACAACGTTAATATTTTAATTTGTATTCCTTTAAGAAAACAGCTATTTCGTTACAAAGCATCAATACTATGTGTTTCTGTAGTCTCCAATCCATATATGTATACAGGGTGTTCCATAATTATTGCGACAAAATGATAGGGGTTGTAGAGGGCATAAAAATATGCAATTTTGCCTTATAAACCCCTGTTCGTAAATATGCCGTTTGAGCACTACAGTTAATTTTAGCTTAAGAGCTCATAGGAAAAACAAAAAATTCACCAGCTGCAAAATGTTCGTCTAGCACATTTCATGGTCTCACCGGTTTGTAAAAAAAGCCTGCTGTGTTTACATTTTTGTTATCGTACACCCGTACCACCTTTTAAAAGTCCAAGCCATGGGTCCAGCAGACTATCTGCCGCGTCGACGTTTTTGCCGATGGTGGCTGCAGCAGGAGTTGAGGCAACCAAACTTTGGTCGCTACGTTTTGTTCACTGACGAGTCCTGTTTTACAAAGGACCGTTATTTTAATAGCCATAACAGTCACATTTGGGATGAAGAAAACCCTCATGCCATAGCCATCCATAGAGACCAACATCAGTTTTCAATTAACATCTGGTGCGGCATTGTGGACGAGCATATCATCGGGCCATATCTGCTTCCACCACGTTTGGATGCGCATGCTTATGGTCGATCCTTACAGCATGTGCTACCGGAACTATTACAAAATGTGCCACTGAATATAAGAGCCAACATGTGGTTTCAACACCATGGCGGTCCAGCCCACTTTTCTTTACAAGTGCGGCAGTATTTGGACGACAAATTTCCAAATAGGTGGATAGGCCGAGGTGGCCCTGTGCCTTGGCCTGCGCGGTCACTTGACCTGACCCCACTGGATTATTTTATCTGGAGCTATCTGAAAGCTTTAGTGTACGAAACTCCTGTTCCCAACCAACAAGAGCTACTGGGAAGAGTGATGGCCGCGTCCGCACATGTTCAGGACATACCGGGGGTATGCCACAGAGTTCGCCGATCATTGAACAATCGTGCACAGCTGTGTATTGAGCAAGGTGGAGGACACTTTGAGCAATTACTGTAGGTAAGCTGTTTCAAGAAACTGATCTTTTTTTTTGCTGCAGCCCAAACGGCATATTTCCGAACAGGGGTTTATAAGGAAAAATTGTTCATTTTGATGCCCTCTACAACCCCTATCATTTTGTCGCAATAATTATGGAACACCCTGTATATATATCTATATATATATGTGTATATAATGTATACATATTACTATTATATGTATACTAATAAATACATTAAACAAAGCCATAGGACATTTCTCAATAGCTGATAGGCCAACACAATTGAGGCCTTTAAACAACTACCTTGTAAAATATCTCCGGAGTGGACACTGAAATATAATTAAGCGATCAAACGAACTTACCTGTGAAGTTCGATCGTAATTATATGACGTGTCCACTCCGAAGATATTAACACCCACCCAAAAAAAAATTGTCTTATAGAAATTGAAATTCTAGCAGATAATTTTAGTTACCCATCCCAGACGATTGTGTTGGCTGAACACTTTAAACTGAATGACGATGCCGGCGAATGGGAAGTGGAGGGAGGCGGTAGACTGAACGTTTAACTCTTTGAAATGTGTGACGTATCGTACACCAGGGACGTACTACCTTGTAAAATATCTTCGGAGTGGACACCTCATATAATTACGATCGAACTTCACAGGTAAGTTCGTTTGATCGATTAATCACAAACAAAATGTCGGATGTCTTTTATTTTATTGTTGGTTTATAATTTACACTTTTAAGATATTTGTCTTCAAAAATTATGATCTGCTATGATCCGACATAATGTTTCTAAAATTTTATCAAAGTAATATAAAAAATATATATAAACTATCATACGTATACCCCTGGTTTCCTGTTTGCAAGCTTACATTGTGCGAAAAACTGTTTGATCGCAATAAAAGTACACATAATGTGAAAAAGCATTTACTTCTCCAAGTTTAAAAAAAATAATAGAGAAAAAAGGAGCTTCGTGGATTCGAACCTCCGTCATGCGGTTCTGCAATCGTTAACTTCCCATTACGCTACGACGCCTCTTGGTTTACTGGATCCTTATACCACTATACTTGACACTGACAAATGTCAAGCGAACGTTGAAGGCCTATCAAATCTGTTATAAACAATTACAGTACTCTTGAAAACATACGAGATACAATGCTGAATCTCTTCGTTTTCTTGAATTTATTTTCCAACATTTACAACTCGCAGTATGCTATATTAATTCTTTAAAGAAAACTCTAGGGAATTATACAATATTTCTTCGTAAAGACAAAGTCATGCAGTCATTAATAATGCAGCCATTTAGTACATGCTACATACTAACTAGTCTAAGACAGTTTGAAACACAATTGTGTCTTCAATTTGCGTGCTAACTTTATAAACAGTTCAGCGCATTTCAGTATGGATATTTGTTATATATAAACTTAAAGGCTCATCTGTGACCATGAAAACATTTCAGCTTTAAATATGAATAAACAAGAGTATGAAGGAATCTTGAAAAAAAATTGTTTTCTTCGTAACAAAAGGTGATAGACACATCCGCTTTGTTTTAAAATGTGTACAATAAAGTATGTTTTTCGAATATCGTAGCAAACCTGTCCAGTTACTCACATATACGAAATGTTCAAACAATTAGAAATTTTCAAAAGCTGCTTGACCAATCGACTCCAATTTTGTTGAGGTTATTTAGAAGTACGAAGCATACATTTTTACTATTGGTGATATATTTTTACGTGTAGTCTCATTCTGTGGGTCTCATAAATACCTAAAAATCTTATTTGAAGAGTATTTTCGTCTAATATGATTAGACCATATTTGAGGGGAAGTATTGACGTACGAAGATTATTAAGCATCCAAGCGTTTCCAGTAAAAAAGGCATTTTGGAAAAAAAGTCTTGAGTGTTTTTTTAAATGACACATTCAATTATATAGACAAAACTTCGGGAGTACCACTGGCACTTCGATGGAATTTGCAATTCAATGATAGTTTTATAACTTGCGGGAAGTACCATGACAATCCACCTAATTTGTAAGTCGAGATCAAGTGGCTTAACTTAGTAATTCGCATCAACGGTTGAACAATGTCTCACCTCCTCTGTAACCTGGACGCCCTGGTAGTAGGCGAAGAAACAGTTCCATTTATCACAGTCTTTTTGCTTTTTTCCGAGGCTGTACTACCAGTCGCACATTTTTTCAGCGGTTGCCTCCCGCTGCCCGCGTTTCCCGCAGAAACTCGCCTTTCCTTTTCAAGGTCGATGTCAGAAAACTTGCAACCTTGAGCAATCAGAAGTTCCGCATCGTACTTCGTCAGACCTTTCTGGCGCATTTCTTTCATACTCAGCGGGGTGATGATCTTCCCTGTAATATAAAAAATGGCGTCAGGTAGGTTCACTCTGAACCCCCACACGCAACTCTGGACAAATGGACTTCGAATATGCAACATGCATTGAAGTTAACTTATGCACACTCTAGTATCTTTATTATTTGTTGGCTATGAAAATCCTTGTATCCTGACATAAGACCGTAGAGTAGAATGATTATTAGTGGAAAAGAGCATTGACGATTTAAAATAATTGAAGTTACGGACTTTATGCACCAGTCAACTTTTGTACGTTTTGGTACTTTTAAAGGCTACAGAAACCCTCAAACATGGTGATGATATGATTCAATTATCAATTTAATTTATTTTTGTAGTAAAACTTTTGAACTCGGATTGCACTCTCCGCAAGATATCGCATGCTTCTGAGTAGCTGGCGTTGATGGAGTCATAGTGGTAAAAATTATGAGAAATATGTGTGATATTGTGTCCGACTGGTGGGTAATGCTATTGGGATCACATATTTCTGAATAATAAAACACCTTTCAGTGATACCAAAGATGCAATATTCACAACCTCTGACCACCAGTCGTCAGCTCCTACGAGTTTTTTCTGAAAATAATCATGAGACGTGAAAAAACGAAAGTAGAGAGAGTTTACTTCCTACGCCACTGAGATATGTTTTTTGAATGTTATATGACATATACGAGGGCGGTTCAATAAGTACCTGTGTTTGACGACAGAGGGCGTTCCTGAGGGAAGTTAATGTTATCATCGTGTGCTGCCATCTATCTAACGACGGCACAAAAAATTTCAGACTGATTGATAGGTTAGTTTGGATTTTGCAGCCATTCGAGTAACACGTGATTCGTGATTTTCGCTAAGATGGAAAAAGAACAGTATCGTTCGGTAATTCGCTTTTTGTTTTTGGACGGGAAAAAATGCGAGGAAATAAAAGCAACGTTGGATGCTGTATATGGATGGGGGCACTTCGCCATCCATGACCACAGTTAGATATTGGTTCAACAAATTTAAACGTTGGCGAACATCCGTTTTTGATTAGGATCGACCAGGACGTCCGGCAGACGTGGTTACTGAGGAAATCATTCAAAAAGTCCACGACATGATTCTCGCTGATTGACGAACGAAAATGCGCGAAGTAGCAGAGGCCATAGGTGTGTCGACCGGAACGGCAATCAGTATTTTACAAGTTGGCTATGAAAAAATAGTCGGCCCGATGGGTGCCGCGATTGCTCACGGTGATCAACAAGCGGATGCGGCTGTTAACTTCAAAGCAGTGTTTGGATCAGTTTAAGGGAAATCCGAAGGAGTTTTTGCGTCGAGTTGTCACCGTCGATGAAACCTGCATTCATCATTACACACCAGAAACTAAGCAAGAATCAAAGCAATGGATTTCTCCCGGTGAATCTGATCCAAAGAAGGCGAAGATGGTCCCATCAGCCGGAAAGGTCATGGCGACGATTTTTTGGGATGCGAACGGCGACATTCTCGTGGATTTCTTGAAAAAAGGAAGAACGATCACTATGCAATACTATAGTCAGTTATTGGACCGCTTAAAGATGGAGATTGTTATTTTTGTCTCTTAGGTATTATTTAATTATTTGATAATGTACTCGTAAAATGCAAACAATTAAAAAAACGGACTTACCACTAACTGTCTCAGCACTTCACCTGGTGTAGTGAAAGTTTATTGAACGTATTAAAAAAATCCACTTATAAATAGGGAACACAATTTTGATACATACATTGTTTTTCTTTTTAAAACCAACACTGCACTTTTTTTTTGTATTTAAAGAAGGTGTTCAAATTGTCGTCCTCCACTTTCCACACAAGCTTCATTACGACGAACCCAGTTTCTTCTTACTCTAGGTCCTCGAAGTTGTCCATTTATAATTTCAGCCGGATTAAATTTTTTTTCGCGAAGTTGTGCTTCAGTTGTTATTGGACCAGCCCCATAAACCATCCCTTTAAATTCTTCCCAATACCAGAAATCCATCGGACTGAGGTCAGGAGATCTTGCTGGTTATTTTCGAGGATCAGGAGCATTTCGACCGATCCAGCGATTTGGATAATGTTCATTCAAATACTAAATGACGCCTCTAAAAATGTGTGGTGGTGCCCCGTCATGAAGAAACCACAAATTCTGTTTCCGTTGTAATGGCATGTTGTCTAAGGTCTGTTCCAAAAGTTCTGGTAGGTTATTGGCTAGAGAGCTAAGGTATCCTTCTCCTGACAACTTTTGGGGTACCACGAAAGGGCCAATTACCTGATCGTCAAGAATACCCGCCCAAATATTTATTTTAAAACGTTGTTGGACATGACCTTCACGAATGGTATGAGGATTTTCTTGGGCCCACGTGTGAGTATTATGGAAATTTAATATCCCGTCTCGCGTAAAAGTACATTCGTGCGTCGCTAGAATGTTTTTAAAAAAATCCGGATTTTCAATGTTTTTGTGCAAAAACCACTGACAGAATGTTAGTCTGCGAGAATAGTCTTCTGGTAACAAGGCCTGCATTCGTTGTACATGGTAGGGATAAAGCAAATTTTCCCGTAGGATTCTATGGACTATGGTATGCGATAGTCCTACGCGGCGGCCTAATTCCCGAGTGCTGATATCTGCATTGATTTCCACGATATTTAAAATTTGTTCCTCCTGCTCTACAGTAACCTGTCTTTCACGAGTGCGAATATTAGTGGGCTGGTACACTTGCATAAATGTCCTTCTGACTGGGTGTACCCATTGGCGAAATCTGTCACGATAAATTTGAGCTACAAGATTTGAATTTTGACGAGCTTCACCGTAAACTAACAACATGACGGCTAACTCTTGATTCGAGAACATTGTAAATCAATCAACACTACGATGTACGCGAACAGAAACAAAACAACATACTAACTGCTGTTACCGTTTGCGATAGATTGCCGGTTCGATGAGAGTGATGATGACCGACGCGCTGCTGTCATGTGTGTTTTAAATATTCAATTTAATGAAACTTACTTACTTACTGACTACAAATGTTGGCTTAACTTAGAAAAACTTAATGCCGTTTATTTGTTAATTACCCAATTTAAAAACGGTTTTAGATTAGGTTATAAAAATTAGTAAGATTGTGGTGATTGTGGTCGATATAAAGCAATTAAAGTTGTAAACTATAAAGCCATTTAGACAAAAATCTATTGACGTTTGGACCATGGGTCATATGAACTTTTTGACTTGTTTTGACCCCCATATTACCCATTTCAATAATGACTACCATAAAGTTTACACCCTGTAGATTGGCCAAGGATTAGTGGACAGGCAGACAGAAATGAGTGACATGCTTATTCGTGATGTACAGGGTGGAGAAATAAGAATGCGAGGTACTGTACCTGGGAACCCATCCATCGTAGAAGCTTGCGGCAAAAAAGTTCTTACTAAAACGGCCAATATAAGAACCTGAAAAATATTTTCAAGTTTCTGAAATGGCCGCTAGGGAGCATAACTGCAATCTTGAATCTAAAAAACTGATTTTTCTGTGAATTCCGCTATATTAACCTAACAAAGAAATACCTTGATCTTAAAAGTCGACGATAATGTGAACTTTTTTTGTTTGACAATTTTTGCTGTATCTAAAAATAAAGCAGTGGGGGGTATTCAAAGGTGTCCGTAAAAAACACCCTACTAGTTGAAAAGAGCTATTGTTGGGCTACAAATGTTATAATATTTAAAGTTTTGTTAGTTTCACATGTAGCCGCTAGTAGGATTTTTTCGACATTCTGACAGAAACGGCAAATTTGATTTTTTCTGAAAAAGCAGCTAAATGATGTCTAAACAAGCTCGCGAAAACTGCATCTCGATATTTTGTTCCTAACCTAAAATTTAGGTCAAAGAAAATTTTATACGGAAATCCCTTAAATTTTTATTTTTTCAAAGTAATTTTTCTGGAATTAGTTTTTATTATCAAGTTGTGGCCCTGCAAAGGACCTGAAGCGGGTTTTTCTCTTGACTGTATTGGTATGAACTTTTTTTGACGCAAACCTCTACGATGTATAGTTTCCCAGATACAGTACCTCGCATTCTTAGTTGGCCACCCTGTACACGTCATATAACATCAAAAAAAAACATACTTCATTTTCGAAATTTTTCGCTAGTACAGTACCTTCTCGACAGTAGCGTGAGTAATGGAAATTAGATAAATTTCTTATAAAATTAATACATGTTGTTAACATGTTACGGTGCAATAACATTTTATTGAATCTTGTGTGAATAAATATCAAATTACCATTTTCTGTAGGGCAACTGTCCTTAGTAGTTTGCATCTTCTCTTTAGTGCGGTTCAGTCTATTATCTGTTTCTCGTAACCTATACCCATTTTCTTCTTTCTGTTCTGCCTCTTTTGAAAATGCGCCTGTATGCCTACGTTCACAGGTTTCACATTCACAGTAACAGTTCTTGTCACCAAAGAAATCTTCACCATAAAAACAAGTGATCTCTTCCCCCACCTAAAAAAGATGTCTTCAATTACCACTTGAAGAATAGGGATTCACCGAGTATTAGATTATGTAAAAAACCTAAAAAACTACGAAATATCATCTTGTAGACTAGGTAGTTTTTAATGTGCAAATAGTTCATTCCACGTTTGCTTGCTATGATTGCTGTTCGCTGACGTTTAAGCAACACGTGTAGCTACAAAACGAATTCACGACAAGTGTACAACAGCTTGTGCTAAGTTAACATCTTGTAGAAAAACCTACGGAATGTCAAAAAACCGACGAAATGTCACTTTTCAAGATACGTAATATCTGTGCCGGTAATTACTCGGTTTTAACGCAAGACACAACTAGTGTAACATAAATTAAAGAATTGCACATGAGATGTGCCAAGTCTGAACACGTATGCCTTTCTCCAGACCTTGATACGTTCACCAAGGAAATAACCATAAGAAACAAGCATATTTTTGCCGGAAACTGTTGCTGAATTTGAATGATTTTTCAGTAAATGTAAAACGGTGTTTTCCAGTAAGCTAGTATTTTTAAGGTATTTGCTTAGAAGTGGTGGCAGATATTTCACGAATTGTGATTTAGCAACTGATATTTCTGAATCATGAATCACGACTGTTACAGAATATCATGAAAAAGCCTGACGTGATCATGACTTCGGTGCTAGATGCGAACGCGCGCTAATCGTTAAGACCGAGAATCGTATATCACATGAAAGACTACTATAGCCTGCAAGCAGTATCGTGCCTTAAGGGTTTTGGTAGTTGCCTCCATGAGATTTAACCGCGGCATTTTGCTCAGGATACAAGTATTTGCATAATCTCATCGTTATTCGAAAGACGTGATCACGTCACTGTATTAAATCACTGATATCAAAAAGTAACTACTAGATATCACATATATTCAAAAATAACGATATGGGCTATCTCTATTGTGTAGCTCATTTTTTATATTAAGAAAAAACCACGGGTCCATGGAGCAGCTACTATAGCTATTAAAAGTGAAACCACGTTGCCTTTTGAAATCTTTTATTTGTTTTATATCTCTCTCTTCGAGCAGTTTTAATTTGTGTTTCTTTTGAAACCTCATCCCAAAGGCAGCCCAGAAACTTAAAGGAATTAAATTCAGTATTCATGATTACCATGACAAAGACGGTGGTTGTGATAGAATTTTTTTTTCAAATTTGTGCAGCGTCCACCTTCAACAAAAATGTAGATTAAAAATATCGAGCATATAGCTTCCATTGACGACTAAATGTTCCGCTCCAAAAATTTTAAATTACCTTCCTATCAGTGTTTACAAATGTGTTTCAGTTGTAATAGGAAAGATTGGAGAGTATATAAAAAGTAAATATCAAGGTTTGGCTACAATTTCAACTCAATATTGAAGCTGCAGAATTACTCAGAGTAAACAAAAATAAATAATACAACTTGTGCGCAAGTAGATAAATCTGAAAAAAGTCGCCTACTAATCGTAAATGACAGAGAGACTCCTAAGTCTCCTGGTTTATAACTGATCGACGTCTGTATGAACAGATAGATGACGCACCGCCAAAACAGTTTACTCGACAAGTAGTCGGTATGCCAAGTATGAGCGTAGCAATGACATTCTATGCATTCATGCATAAATAGGGGACATTCTGTCATTTCAACGTCTGGGTTGAGGATGGTATCAGCTTTGTCAAACTATTCGTAGGTAGCTATAGTAAGATCTCTCGCCAACTAGCGCACTACATTTTGAATTTTTCAAACGAACATACATACTTGTTTGCTTTACGTTTGTCTGTCTCCAAGACTAGACCTACAGTCTTTCCCTAATAATACTGGTAGTAACTCAAAAAAACTAGCCCTAATCACAACGCGCAATAAAATATAAATAAAAACAGGCTAATTAAGAAAATATTGGCTATACTCTTCCTGCATCAAATTGTTTAAAAAATAATAGGAAAAGTTCATATAAACACGGGCCCGAAAATCAAAAATAAATTATATCTTCAGGTTGTATCAATATACAGGGATGGTGGCGACTCGCTTTTTTCATTTTTTCGGAGGATCCAACTCACTTTAACTCACTTTTCATTGAAAACATTCACAATTTTTGTTCTCTCTGTACATATTCTAGTTTATGAACGTTTTCGAAGGAGTTGTCCTCCTTCTCTCAAGGCCCAGGAAATTAAATGAAGAGAATATTTTTTTTATAAAAATTAATTATGACAAAGTTTTTCATATACAGGGTTCTCCCCAGGCTGGGCCAATATGCATTACCTGAGAAATTACTAGGGTTAGTTGAAATCTAGGTTGAATTTTAATTCATGTTTACTAAAAGCACTCTATATGTATGCTCTGGGGATTTCAAATTCGGAAACGGTAAGCAAGACAATACAAAGTCGTTTATGAAGGCAATGTTGCGCATTAAGGCAGGTAACTAATAAAATGTTACTTAGATAGTTCGGCAATTCAAAAATGGATCAACTGCCGCCATTTTGAATCTAATATATGATATTGGCATCAAATGAAAGAGCTTGATGAGAGAAAATAAGCAAACTGATGACGAAATGAAATTAAGTACAAGTAGTAGCCAATACATACATTTTCGTTTCACAGACTGCAGGAGTGGTATAGAAATTGGGAAATTTTGACCACTACAAATGAAATTGAAAATTATTATCACGCCACCGACTGTTTTGAGACTGCATTTTTTAAGGAGAAGATAATTTACAGATAATGGTATTTCTCAATCTGCCATTTTGCCTCGACGTGTACACTATGAAGACGTTGACGGATCTGATACTGACCCTGACACTAGCGAAGACATATCGCTTTCAAATTCAAAAATCAATTGTTAAAACAAAAATTTCAAGAAAATATGTTTATTTTTGTTAAATTGACAGGCAAGGAAGTTTGCAGTCATTATGTTGCTCGCATTTTATCTGTCGACCTAAATAACGAGTACAATGTGCAGTTTATGAAAAAATCTGGTAGCAAGACTTTTGATTTTCCCAGGATAGAAGAAGTTGCTCATAGATGAGCCAGACATTAAACTAATCCTAAAGTGCTCCTGAATATCTTAAAAAAGGATGAATATGTTTTTCTGGAGGATTTAGGTAGTTCTGTTGACCTGTTTTAATGATAATTACCAAGTATCAATAGTCCGTAGTACTTATATTTTTCATATCTTTCCATTTTTTAAACTTAGCGCAGCTCTTTGTATTTTGCATAATTAAACAGATTCAAACGTTTTGATTGTTTAATTGTTATCCAATACTCCACATTCCTGTTCTATTTCATCCTGAAGTGGTTACGGAACGAGCTAAAAATATAGCTGCTCAACAAAAAGCTTATTGTGAGTAACAATAGTTCGAATTCGTTTAGCAAACTTAGGTACATATAGATTTTTCACATGTTGTACGTACTCTATATAATTGCATTTTCGATATACATCATAAAAATACAAATGCTTTGTCACGCCCGAGGTCAAAAACATCACGTCCGTGGGCTGTGAGGTTTATTTTTTTTTTAAATTTACAGACATAACGCTTTATATTTAGCGCGACAGCTAGTATTTCTTTAAAACCTACCTTAGTACCAACAAAGTTACAAAAAAATATACATGCTTGATGTAGTTTAGTTATTTTCGAAATTGGCTAGTGAATCCGCCAATTCATCAAGAATGACTCATAAATAAACCGTCAGGCACAGCTAATAGACTTACTTCATTGGCAGCATATTCAGTAATAATTTTCTCGCATAGCAAATATCACTGATTTGATACACATGCATTCCAATACACATAATCATCCAGGTGCGATCTTGTTACTCAACCAATTTCCTTTCATTTACATCTTCTCAGAGATAAACACTTTTGATGGCGCTCACAGCTATCATAGCGGGCCAACGTGAGATGAACTATTTGCACACTAAAAGCTACATAGTCTGCAAGATGACATTTTATCGGTTTTTTTAAACTTTTTTAGGTTTTTTACATACCTCTTGCGGTACTTCCCAAGTTATAGACTGATAGACAGACAGACCGACGGAAATGAGTGACATGGTTTTTCGTGATGTTCATGTCATAAAACATTTAAAAAACATAATACCTCATTTTCGAAAATTTTCGCGATTACAATACTTCCTCGCCAAGTGGCGTCGAAAAACGAATTACAAGTTCTATTTCTGTGTCAGACCGAGAACTCTTCTCTGTATCCTCGTACGCGTTGATACATTGAAGTATGCAATGCAATTAATTAAAATGTTATTCCAAAATCCTTACAGCAATATCCCTTAGGACCTTGACACAAGCCGTATCTCTTCCTGTAGCAACAAATTTACAATTTGCCCTACAATCGTGGTTGATATAAGCCGCGGGCCCAAGCCAAAGTTGTGCACAATTTTTCCGACAGCTGTACATAACCGAAAAATCATTTTTTCCAGTATGAAGCAGCTGTTTTTCCTCTTCTTCGGTCAGTTCCGCTATACAGCCCACCTATAAAAAAATCAATACAGTAACAAAAGAGATTTACAATGACAATTCTTCATACCAAATGCTCAATCTTATCATTTTTGTACCATTTTTTTGTCGCCGATACTTTCGCGCCCTTTTGACCTTCCATCGAGTATCGGTAGCAAGGTTCTATCACAAAACCAGAGTCTTTATCGAACATATTGAGGTATCTGTAAATCTAGAGAAAAAAATTTCGTGTTATGTTTATTAAGAGTAGCACAAAAATAATGCAAGCACCCTGTATATGGATGATATTTAAGCCACTGAATATAGACGATAGGTAGAGGTATTCCACAACAATTCATGTAAATACTAATATGGCAATTGGTGAAATTATTATTAGAGATGCACCGAGTACTACCGTTTTCAAAAGGCCGAGTACCGGGTATTCGGTCAGATTCTAATACCGAGTACCGGGTACTCGATGGAGTTCTTTGCTCTGGGTTTTTGAAACGTTCCCTCATTCTTGAAACTGAGTTACCTTAGATCATTTTTTGTGAGTAAACCGTCGCAGCTTTGTGTATTTACGGTATTTGTCAGACGTTTTGATTTTTTAGATATATAAAGACTCCTACAACAACTAATCATATATTTTTCAGAGTGGAATTACAATATTGAGTTAAAATTTTGACATTCATTTTTGGAACAATTGTTTCTGATATGTATACTTTTAAATCCCTCCTATTGTAAAAGATATTTCAAAGGTGTATCCTCAATGTCTTAAACGTATATTTTTGGTGAAGATAGGCAAAGCGAGGCCCCAAGCTTCCCTTGTCATGACCACCAGCAACACTGAAATCAAATCTTATAGACTTTTGACTTGAGGAGGTTACAAAAGAAACAAAACGTCTGGGTATCGTGCCAGGGAAAACTCAGGTTCGGGAAGGACTAAATATAAATTATCCTTACACATGAGAGTTTTATTTTGCAGAAAAGCTGGATACTCGTTATTCCTGTTCCTTTAAGACTTTTGCTGCATTGTTTTATGTGATATTGTTGTTTTTGTTGAATTTTTAATGCTCATATGAAAAATAAAAGAGCGAATAAAAAGTACAAAAAGACAACAATGTGGTTTCGGTTCAAACTCCTTAGTAGCTGATCCATGTTCTACTGTATTTTCTATAAAAAAATGTAACACCTTATATATAAAATTAAGCTGCGCAAATACCCTAAATGCACTAACTTACCGGAGAAGAGGGTCGATATACGGGAGTTGTCTCAAAAATAAGGTCCCACCTTTTATCAGGCACAAAGAATTTTTTATCTGAAAAAACAAATTTACCATTGGAAACGTTTATCTTCGCGCTATTTTTCTACGCCATTTTTTCTGCGCGTTTTTCACACGTGGAATCCACTTTTTCACTCCTGCCTCAAGGAAGTCTGCTTGGAAACTTGGTGACTACTCCTTGCAACTCCTCGTCCGCCTCGAACCGTTCACCACCTAGGTGCTCCTTGAATTTCCGAAACGCTATGTCAGGGTTGTAAGGAACATGAGCAACGACTTCCCCTCGCTCGATTCAGTGCTTCGTTTGTTGTGAGACATGAGGATGCGCATTGTCGTGGTGCAACCTTACGCTTTGGAGGGTTCTCCCTACGACGATACTGGATTGCCCATCTCAGCTTTTTCAGAAGCTTCGGGAATTTCAACCACCTGTCCCCGGATCGTGATTCGCCAATCTTCGAGCTGAATCTTCGCCATAACTTCCTCGGAGACCAACTCCTTCCACTTCGTTGTACATCGTGGATGTCCATGCGGTTGTCAAAGAACTCTCTTCACCATTTGAGGACATGTTGAATGCTTATACACGTTTCCCGATAATGGGCTCCATTGCGCAAGGCAGTCAGACCGTAACTGAGCGTCATCAACAGGCGCTTCTTATTGGGATCGGTGGTGGGGAGCCGATAAATACAATGGTGTTGCCAGAGTTCATCAAGCATCACGCGATTCTAAGATACAGCGTTGGGAACCTTATTTTTGAAACAACCCTCTTATGCTGTAAACTAGACTTTCTGCTTTTTTGCCGGTGCGTTATTTTCTTGGAGAACATATCAGGAAGGTTTGGGTAAAGTATGTAAGCTCACTCTTTGCACATCGCATCTGTAATTCTTTATTTTGCAAAAGTTGTGTCTTGCGTTCAAACCGAGTAAATACCCGGCCAAATAATTCAATACTCTGTGAAACCGGGTACTCGATAAAATCGGCAGAATATGCCGAGTACCGGGTACTCGGTGCATCGCTGATTATTATAATACAAAAAATGGTTTCACTTAGGTCAAGAGACAGTTGACACACAGGGTGACGCAGGTGAGATAAGGTGTCATAATGATAGCCAAGTCAAATTAAGGGTGGATCTGGATGTTGGGGTTTGAGTAGTCAATTTGAAATGTATTCATTATATTATTTAAGCTGACAGCAGTACTATCTTTGGACTGAAGTATGTTCAGTCTGTCACTCATTCAGACTGATGTAGCTTTGAATTAGCAATCAATGTCGCAAGATCGATATCCAGCCCTAATTCGACCTTGGGGCAAAAACAGAAGCTGGTTAAATATTATAGTAGATATTACAGTGAAAATGTGATACACAATTAGCTAAAAAATCTTCACTTACATGTTCTTCTAATTTTTTTGTTTGGATTTTGGACTTTATTCGAGGCATCCAGTCCCCTTTAATAATTCTCTTAAAAGCCTTTTCATAATTCTGGTCTTTCATGAAATCTTCGATAATACTCTTTAGTTCTCCATTATTTGTTCTTGGAGCCCTAAATCTGATGTTCATTTTATGCGTAGTGAAACCCAGGAATGGGTCCAAGACCAAGGATGTGGCAATATCATCATTATCTGACAGCTCTTTTGGGTTCATGCCAGTTGGCTGCATTTTTGTAGTGTGGAAAGGTCTTGCAGCAAAATCCACCACCATCCTGATCACTGAAACAATAACAAAGATGTTTGTAAAACAACATATAATGCTGCTTGCTACCTGTGGAGCTGAAAGGGGTGAAATCACTATGTCAAAAATAGGAACGGTCACGCAACCCAGTGATTATTTATGCTTAAAAGTAGTCAAAATTACTTATTGGAAAGCCGATACTATCTAGTGCACCATTCCTAAAGTACAATAATCACCCTTATCGAATAATAAAGTCTTTAATCAATTCTGCATAGAAATTCTGTTAGACAATTAACATTAACCAAAGTCATTGAATATACAAAATATTGGATATTCTCAGAACTACCCCTAATAGGGGGTACAAAGTATATGACAAATATGTTTTGACGTTTTTCAAATAGATGAGTACACTTATTCAAAAAATGAGTGCTCTGGGAACAAACGCAACCCAGTAAAAACCATTGTTTATGATTAGAAGTAGTCAATAACACTTATTGGCAACCCGAAAAGTGCGGGGAAATTTAATGCGCCTTCCCTATATTATATTAATCACCCCCTATTTGGATAATAGCCAATTCTGCATGAACTTATTGGCAATTCAAAGATAAATGAAAAACAATTCTATGATAATAATTACTGAAGCCATTGAATGAATAAAATATCGGATATTGGAGTTTACCGAAATATCTCAAATAGGGCAAGACAACTTTTATTTAAGAAAATAAACAATTAATAATACAATATGTGAACATCTAAAAGTTTAAAAGGTCATAAAAAATATTGAACCTCTCCCAAATTACAAAAATCCTTCTATAGGAAATGAATTTCTTTAAAATATATCAATAAAGCTGATAATTCGAAATGTTAAAAACCTGGCGATTTTTGCCTCCTTCTGGAGACTCTCCTATCTACTGTAAACAACTCCATTAGACTTGTATTTGATTGGAATACGTGTTTGAAGTGGCGTACCTCGGAGAAAAATAGTCAAACTACCCCTAAAGCAGAAAACCACAAGCACGCTGATCATCTGTGTACCTCAAGCTAAATGGCTTATTTTTTTATAATGATTGAATTCCATAACAGAAGCAGGTTAAACTACTAAATGACACGCCCTGAAACTCAACGTCCCAGACACTCACAAATTTAAGTACATATTCATAATTATAACTTCCTGTATAATCATATTGTTTGAGCTGCTATTAATATTAATATTCGATTATATTGTTTGCACATGAGTATCTATCATTTAAAAGAATTTGAAATACTTCAATATTCGTTGAGGGTGATTTGTATACTTCAAAGATGACGTTACTATATTTGCCTGCACTTTCCGGGTTTCCAGTAAGTATTTTTCTACTTCTAATCGAAAACAATGATAATTGCTGGATAGGGTTGGTTTCCAGAGGGGAAATTTTTTGAATAAGAGTAGTTATATCCTTGAAAAACGTGAACACGTATTTTTCATATACTTTCTATCCTCTATTTGTGGTAGTTGTGTATTTCCAGTATTTTGTATACTGACTGATGGTTAATGTTAGCTATCGTAGAAATATTTATTTTTCATCTTCTAACATAACTCCTATGTAGAGTTGATTAAAGACTGTATTATTCAATATGTATGTATGATTAATGTACTTTAAGGATGGCGCACTAGATTTTCCCGCACTTATCGGGTTTCAATAAATATGTATTTTTGACTACTTCTAATCATAAAGAATAGTTTTATTGGGTTGCGCTCATTCCGAGAGGGAGCTGAAGAACGGCAATTTTCAACATTGTTCTTTCAATAGTCTATACCAGTGGTCGCCAGCCTTTTCAGTGTGTTGAGCTACTTTGATAATTTTGGAATAAACAGTGAGCTACATAGTCGTAAGGAAAGTAAGCCAACTTAAATGAAATTATACACAGGTGTATGCGACATACACGTGTTTATTTTACTAATACTAATAAACTTAAATAAACTAATGAATACTACATAACTACTTTTAATAAACTTCATATTTGGAAAAGAAGATTCACACAAATAGGTTGAACTAAATCACGCTTTCACTTTCAAGGCAACAACACAACATAAAACTGAATATTTATCTTTACTCATTGAGACTAATAATTTTAAAGCCAAATCATTTTGAAACGCAATCACTTCAATTTCTGTCGCAGCGATGTCTATTTCTACATGATATTTACTGTCATACGGTTTTAATGGACTTTCAGATATCTTTTTTGAAAGAACAGGAAAATGCCTGATATCGCCATCGATTAAGTTTTGTTCCCAAAACTACAGCTTTTTGATAAGAAAGAAAGAAATAATTTCTGCTAGTTCTTTGTCTCTCCCCTGAAGCTGCAGATTAAGTTCATTTAGTTCTTCTGTAATATTCACAAGAAAACCAAAATCTCTAAGCCAGATTGAATTTTCCAGTTCCGGAATCGGATCATCACGTTGTTTGAAAAATTGAACTATGACAAATATGATATCATTAAAAAATTTCAGAACTCGTCCCCTACTTAACCATCGGACTTCAAAGTGAAGAAGTATTTCCCCGTATTTACAATTTCATCGGCCAAGGTTTTGAATAAGCTTCTTTGTAACCCTTGAGCCCTAATCTTGTTCACAATTTTTACTACCAATTTCATAACTGTGTTCAGTTTTAGAAAATGGCCACATAATGCTTGCTGATGGATAATGCAGTGGTAACAGAAATTGCGGAAAACGCTCATCTTTACGAGACCCTTATCACGAGCCACCCTAGCTGGAGCGCCATCGGTTGTCAAGCCTACCATTATCGATATTGGAATTTTCTCAGAAGAAATAATATTTTTAAAAGAAAACAAGTCCTGCCCAGTAGTCTGTCCTTTTAGTGGAATAAACTTCAATAGTAATCGTAAAATCACTAAAAACCATGCTTCGAACACGGCCACCTGAGAGGTGTCACCGACATCTGGAGATTCATCCAGCTGCAGTGAAAAATAAGCACTGTTATCGAAGTCATTTCTTAAATGTAAAACTATATCATTGCTCATTATTTCTACTCGTATCATCACTGTTTTAGCAGAAAATTGCATAGATTTTATAGCAGACACTATCTCGTCTTTATTTCTAAAGTTGGCAAATAATGAATCTGCAGCTTCTAAAAACGCCAGTTCTATCATTTCCCCCTCTTCATAAAGTTTCTTCCTTTTTGTAATTATCTGGGACACCCGGTATGATGCTTCAAATGCAGCCTTACTTTTGTCGATTGTTTTTAAAAACATTGTTGTCCAATTATCTGATTTTTTTATTGTTTCAGTTTTTCCGTTCAGGTTGCAGAACGTAATGGAAATGATTTTTCAAAATTCGAATGTAAAGTTTTATAGTGCCTCTCAATACATATTCCCCTTTTTTAGAGACGGAAACAGGTGTATTACATAACACACATACATTTTTACCTTCAACTTCTGTAAAGAAATATTGTTCTCCCCATTCTGAATGGAAATGGTACGTCTTCATCTTCTTACTACTGCTCATGTTTTTAATTGAAGGCCAACTCTAACCCACCTGCTGGACTTTGTGCCGTTCAGTTTTAAAATGAGCGCACTGTCGCCGCGCATTGCGTATTTATTCCGTTCAAAGTAATCGAGTTTGTTCTGGAACAGATCGCAGCTTGTGCTTATTATGAGAGTTTACAAAATTTACGGAAGCTTCTATGGTTTTTACACCTTTTTAAAATATGTTGTGAGCAACCAGAATTGCCTTTGCGACCTACCGGTAGCTCGCGATCGACTGGTTGGCGACCACTGGTCTAAACAATATTTCACGAGTATACATGTACATCACGTTTTGACGTCTACTGAGGTGAACAGCTTATCATATACTGACATCTTTGTCATTTATCGATATGGGGAACTATGAAATATTACCAGATAATCAGCTGTTATTCTACCGTAATGGATACTCGTGAAAAAGACAATATACAGCTTTTCTGCTTATAGAGAGTTTATAACTTTTAACAGCTTTACCCTACTTTAAAGTCATTTTATTGGTATAGTCATCTCAGAATTTTCAATATATATTAGCAATATCACCAAAAGATAGATAAATTTATTGTAATCACATTTAAATATTATTGAACAACAATAAATCGATCCGTCCTTTTTTCAATCTGCGATCTGAAAAGAATACGTAGGAAGGGGAACCTGCTTATTAAAAATGATCCCTTTTGCCTTCACACCGTATACCTTTTTTTAAATATTATTGAACAACAATAAATCGACCCGTCCTTTTTTCAATCTAGTAGTGTAATTTTTCATTATAGATCTACTTAGACTAAGCGGACGTCAATCAATAAATTCATAAAATTATTTGCAAAAAACTGTTAAATTAATTACAATCAAAAAGAAATGGAATTCAATAAAACTCTGTCTATATTATACTACTTGGAGAGTAAAATGAAGTTTGTAAATACTATACACTGTGTTTGGAAAAAAATGTAGATTCCATTCTAATCATACTGTAGTTCCGTTAGACAAATCAGCTAGTTGTGTTATAGCAAACAAATATAAATCTGGAAAGATAGCTCAATTTTGTAGACTTAATGTAAAACAATAATACAAGATGTTTCTCATTTAACCAACATGATTACTCTATAACCATTCCCAAGATCCAGTGCTTTCCTCATCTTGAACATTTTCTCTGATCCACATCTGACTTTTGTGGCATTATTTTTTTTACAATCATCTGTTCTTCGACCTAGAAACGTTTTTATTGCATGACAAAAGCAAATTAAAACAAATTACATTTGTTAGGTTAAATTAAATTCACAATTGTTTGCTATGAGAATTTTGTAATGCACACAATAATTGCTAAATATAATACAACTTTTTAAAAGTATTTTGCAACCTGCAGGACCTCTTTAAGTGACTAAGTGTACTACATACAGTATGACTGAAACACAGTCTACAAACATGCTCATTCAAATATGTTTGTTCTTAGGACCAACATAAGCAACTTGAAAACAAGCCATATTTCTCAGCTTTTTGCAATAACTTGTTTATTAATTCATCAACTGACATCATACTTAGTCTCAGTAGTCATGCAATGAAAAACTATACAACTGACTTGCTGAAAAAAGTTCGATTAGAAAAATGCAAAAAAAGTTTAGTCATCTTTGAAATTAACTATGGTATTTTAGTGCCATTGGATCAATGCATTTATATGTGACTTTTCCATATAGTTGCATTTGGCTTTTAAGGGTAATATCACTGTAACAGCCAAAACAAATATTTTTTTAATATATTTAAGTAGCAAAAAAGAAAATTATCATAAAAAATATTAAGAAATGGCGGCGAAATGTGATTTTTCAAAATGGCATGTAGCATAACTCAAACAAATATCATGTGTTTCCTTTGAATCATTTACAATATCTTTAAAATGAAATTTTGAAGAGAAAGACATAGGGGATTCTTGATAACATGATGCAATCATTATTTATTTACAAATAATTATATTTTTCCAAACAATTTTTCTTTTTTTTTACTCAACTATTTGATCAATAACTTCCTCTAATATTATTATTTTATAACTTTTCATTCTCACACACACTGTCACACATGAACAAATAATAATTTTGAATAAGTAGATTACACAATAAAAAACATGTGTACTATTTTTTGGGGTTGTTTTTCTCAAGAAATCATCAACAGTAAGTTCGTTCAGTATTCAATGTATAATATAATTCATATGGGAAGGTAGATTTGCTCAGAAGCACAGTCACAGATTTTTTATTGCACCCCTTAGAAAAAATTAATATAAGTACCCATCTGACGGCTATTTACAGAAAGGAACCAACCCAGAAAAACAATTATTAAGTTTTAAAGTTTTAACAATGATAAAAAACTCATTTTATACCAAAAATGATTTTAATTAATGGCATTAATAGATTAAATGGCAGGACGCTGTCTTCGATCCAGTAAGAAAAGCGATTTGCTCGTGGGCACAGTTCTGGAGATCAAGGATGCTATATTGTTGCAGGATGGCAGGTTCATACTGACTACTGTGGGAATGCGGAGGTTTAAGGTGCTGGCTAGAAGTGAACAGGTTAGTTATATGAAAAGTCCGAATGGACCCATTGAAAATTTAATAAATAAATTAATAGATTATTTTCCTAAAATCTAGATTTTTCATATTTAGTGGGTTGGTTCCTTTCTGAAAATCCTGTCCATTCATTGAATAGGTTGTGAGTCCAAGATTAAAGGGATGGACAGTTAGTAGCTGTCACATCTCTATATAACCTGTGCTATTACGAGCCCCTTCCCACTTCAGTTGCCCACTTAAAAGATTTGTACCAAAATATGCCTATATAAAGTAAACATGACGAAACTATTTACTTCTAAAACAATTTATTTTCTAAAAAATATTTTAGATACACTCTAGTCGTAAAAAATACATATTTGAAATCACTTAGACCTATAACTAATAGAACATCTGAACAAATAAACAATGTGTTAATGAGTTAACAAAGCAACAATTGAAAGATTACCATTGGGTAACAACACCTTTATTTTTTATTACAGCTGAAATTCTTTGGGGCATAGTATTAACCAAGTTTTGGCAAAAATTTGGTGTAAAACAATCCCATATTTCTTGAAGCTTTTGTCTCAGTTCGGTGATTGTACGAGCAGGATGTTGTCGTAGAACCTTTTTCATCTCGTGCCACAAAGTTTCAATAGGTGACAGATCTGGACTACTAAAAACCCATTTCAAAAGTGGTACATTATTTTCTTCCATCCATTTTATAGCCTTTTTTGAGGTATGGCACGCTGCACCATCTTGCTGAAACAGAAAATCTTGGCCAGATGTCAAACATTCTTCCATCACTGGTGAAAGCGATTCTTCTAAAATTGCCAAATATTTGTTTGTATCCACATTTCCATCAATAAAATGAACTTTTCCTACTCCTTTTGATGACATACTGCCCCAGACCATAATTGATGCTGGAAATTTCACTTTTCTCTTCAGACAGTCAACATGGAATGCTTCATTTTTTTAGCGAATAACTCTACTGGGACTGTCACCAACACAAACTTTGAATCGGACCTCATCTCTCCTTTGTATTGCACACCATTGTTGAGCTGTCCATTGTCTATGCTCTTTAGCCCATCTAAGCCGATTTTTCTTTAGCAGTGGAGTTAATAGTGGCTTTTCTTTGGCCTATAAACAAGTTGTGCAACTTTAGGGTTTTTACTGCACTTTTTTTTATAAGAAAACTTACCTTGCAAGTGCTAAATCCCAGTTTGTGGGCCTCTCTATGTGTGTACCTCAAAATTCTCCTTCCAACAGCGTCACTCAACAGAGCACTTAATTGTAAATAATTGGCACGCCTGTTTTTCACGATTATTCTTCTTAGTGCTCTTCGGTCGGCATTTGTGATATTACTTTTTTTCACATATCGTGGCTTAATATTAACTGAACCAGTTACGTTATATCTTCTAACAATATTTCTCACACTGTACCGCGATAAGTCTAACAAAGTTGCAATTTCTTAGTTTGATTTCCCAGAATTAAAAAATTTAATTATCAGTAACCGAATTTTCTCATTAATAACCTTTCCTCTACCCATTTTGAAAGCCTAAACTACCCAAAACTATTTTAAACATATTTTGACAGCTGTGATTAATAAAAACAATTGTCATGGCTTTTATTTTTAACAGCCACCTATGCGTTATAGACTTATTTTGCATTGAAATGAAAATAGGTTGATATGCTGTAATTGCAACATGTGTTATTTTTATGCTGCAAATTTGATTAGGGAGTGATAAAATTGGTGTTTTCTACTATATATTATCAAAATATTCATTGTTAATATTTTAAACCTATAACACCCTGCTACATTTTTATTATTTGTGTTTGATAAGAAAAAAACTAAGATTTTAATAGTTGGGCCAACTGAAGTGGAAAGGGGCTCATATAACATAAATTCATAGTTTTAAGTGGGTCACAATAAAGCTACAGAAAGTACTTTCATACATCCATCTTTCTCACAGACATATATTTTTTCTCATAATGTAACTATCTTCCACATTCTTGATTGTCACTGTGAGTGTCAGTATAACAACTTGCTTGACATGAGCATGCCATTTTAGTTTAACTTTTGTTGTTCTACAATATAAAACTTAGTACTGCCTGAAGATAAAACTACAATGTTGACAGTCTATGTCAAATTTGTTGAAATTTTTGGAATGTGAATGAAAACAACAGTCCCCTATCCCCCAATTAATGTGTCCGTGCATAAGAGCTAATAGCAGCTGCATTTAGGGTTGGCTTGTGTAGTACAATTTCCCTTAAGCAAGTTAGGCTCTGGTAGTCAGTTAATCTGCTTAATTATTTTGTATGAGACTGTGATGCAACATGCAACCACCAAACACTGTGAAAGGAACTGCTGGTAGGAATATTTGACAATTATATTAAATATGTTACTACAAGCTACAATATGTTTCAATGGATACTTCACTCAAAACATGTAAATAGAGATGAATGGTTTTCATAATGACTAACAATAAAAAATAATGTAAAGCAATAAAACACACTTAGGTAGATCAACAACTGCAAATAAATAAAAAAGTTGCAAATTACCAATCCTGGAGAACTTTTAAAACACCACACAGTAATTTACAATGAAGAAACTTCATTAAAGTAATGTTTTAGAGCCATTTTTCAATAACTGGATTCATGAGCAACCTCAGGAAACTTTTTGGATGTGATTATAAACAAATACAAGTGAGGTTAAATCAGACTACTAAACATTTTTTAACTGCTGGATTTTTCAAGGTCAATGTACAGGCTGACAACAAAGAAATTTTTAATTTTTGTATGTCAAAAACACTGGCATACTCCAATGCTTTTCAAAAACTTGTATTTCATAGGCATTTCGTTTAGCATTAAAAAATACTTTTAAAAAGCTCAGAATTACACACAAACTACGAAAATTTAAACGATGGGAATATGGCGAACAACGCAGCCATTGAATTTGGTGCTACTCAAACGTGGGATTGATTGATAATATGACTGAATACCAGTTAATCTGTACGAAAATTAAGACACAACAAACTACGGAAAACTGTTCATTTACCAGTCAAGTATTGATTTCCGTCACGATATTCCACATTATAGGAAAACTGTTTTACTTGAGCAATCCCTTATACACGCTTGAATCTATCATGGCAGTCGCATGGCTACACTTCAAAATAATTAATGCCGATTATACAGTTTCTCTAGTTATAAAACTTAGTAAGGAATGTATTTCATCAGGAATGAGCATGCATTTTAATTGCTTTACGAGATGTGCATGTAAATTTCGTGTTTCTCTGTGTTTAACGATAATTTTAATTTTCCCTTAAAAAATTTTTAAAGGAAAAGTGCAGAATTTTGGCATCGTACTCGCGCCTTGCGCCATCTGTTGGCAAAGTGTTAGATTTGAGTCACATGTACAGGGCGTACCAGTTTGGTGTTTGCTTGACTTAAAGCCGACTAGAGATGGAAGATGAATTTTAAATATTCGTTCAATCAGGATCTATAAACTTTGAATATCAGTAATTTTGGAGCAAGGACTCTGTCATAGTAAAAATGGTGATTGCTCTATGACATATTCTTAGCGAAAAATCATTTGAAAAAGAAGGTAAAATGTCTGTTTAATAACTTTTACTAAGATATGCTGCATTTTGTATTTCATTTATTTTAAATGCAGCCATGTAATGATTTAAGATTGCTAAGGGAGGACTGGTATGGTCTCAATGAATCAATTAGATATTAGAAAGGAGGAATGGATCGAAGAAAGACGGGTTTCTTTGATATTAGTTTTGTCACTCCCATGTGCTAATTAATAACAAATAAGAGGCGTCTTTACAAGCGAAGACTATACTAGTACATACATTCACTTACTTCCTACCTCTTCCTTTCAGGAAAACACGAGATGTAGAATGAAGGTAGTCCCATTCTGACCTATAATCCAGGTTTGAATGTTTTTACCTCTCATGCCACACTGGCGATTAAGAATTGTAATCGTGAAAATTTTCGAGAATGAGATATGTTATATGGTATGTACATCATGAAAAATCATGTCATTCATTTCGGTTTGTCTGTCTGTCCGCTAATTCTTGTACGGCCTATAAATTGTAATGTTTCAGCTCCGATTTGGATGAAATTTTCACACAAGGTCACTGCTATGCCAAGGACGAAAAATCTTGGTAGATTTTGAAAGTCGGTGGCAGAGAAAAAGACCAAAATCAAAAAATAGAAAGCTCTTGAACTTTTTTTGGGTTTCAGTGGCTCATCCTGAACATTGGCGAAAAAAAATTGACACATTGCAGCAATCTTAGGAATTTTATTCTCACGAAGTGCCCAAATACCGCATTACTGGTTCTGACGAAACCTAAACATCTTTTTGGTGTTGCACTACATGGCAAATTTTCAAAGGCGTAAGAGGTACAGAGTCAATCTACTTGACACCATTTTTATCAACATGTAAAAAATACATACAAATATTAATTTATACTTTATATAATTATGTACAGGCATTGAACACATACTTGCCATATAACTTTTTCGCTACCTATCCCTGCATCAACATCTTTGGTGCACCGCAACTTTTTCCAATGTACGAGTCTCTTCCCACTACAGTAAGTTGGCCCACTTCAAGATTTGTACCAAAATATGCTTGTATAAACTAAACATGACGAAACTATTTACTTCTAAAAAATCACTTAGACCTATAACCAATAGAACATCTTAACAAATAAACAATGTGCGAATAAATGCGCGAAGTTAACAAAGCAACAATTGAAAGATTACCATTGGGCAACATCGCCTTTATTTTTTATTACGGCTAAAATTCTTTGGGGCATAGTGTTAATTTTCATCAATAAAATGAAGTTTTCCTACTCCTTTTGATGACATACTGCCCCAGATCATAATGGATGCTGAAAATTTCACTTTTCTCTTCAGACAGTCAACATGGAATGCTTCGTTTTTTTGCGAATAACTCTACTGCGACTGTCACCAACACAAACTTCTAATCGGGCCTCACCACTCCATTGTATTACACACCATTGTTGAGGAGTCCATTGTCTATGTTCTTTAGCCCATCTAAGCCCATTTTTCTTTTGCAGTGGAGTTAATAGTGGCTTTTCTTTGGCCTATAAACAAGTTGTGCAACTATAGGGTTTTTACTTTTATAAGAAAACTCACCTTGCAAGTGCTAAATCCCAGTTTGTGGGCCTCTCTATGAGTTGTGGGCCTCGAAATTCTCCTTCCAACAGCGTCACTCCACAGAGCACTTAATTGTAAATAATTGGCATAATATTTGTGATATTCCTTTTTTTCACATATCGTGGCTTAACATTAACTGAACCAGTTACGTTATATCAGTAACCGAATTTTCTCACTAATAACCTTTCCTCTACCCATTTTGAAAACCTTCACTACCCAAAACTATTTTAAACGTATTCTGACAGCTGCTGTGATTAATAAAAACAATTGTCATGGCTTTTATTTTTCACAGCCACCTATGTGTTATAGACTTATTTTGCATTGAAATGAAAATGAGGTTGATATGCTGTAATTGCAAGATATATTATTTTTATGCTGCAAATTTGATTAGGGAGTGATAAAGTTGGTGTTTTCTACTATATATTATTAAAATATTCATTGTTAATATTTTAAACCTATAACACCCTGCTACATTTTTATTATTTGTGTTTGATAAGAAAAAACTAGGATTTCAATAGTTGGGCCAACTGAAGTGGGAAGGGGCTCGTATAGTTAATTAAAATGCTAGAACAATTTTTTATTAACCAAACCTTGTGCCCTCATAAAAATGTTGATAAAATGACCTGAAATTTAGAAAACTGTTGATATAAGTTCATCGCCCAATTATAATTTTTCTGAAATTCATTTTTGCATTGTTAAAACGATTATTATTTATTGGTTTCTGGTTCCTGTTAAACTCCTTTTAAAATTGATAACTGTTAATTCGGATACTAAGCGCATATTCACATCACTAACAAAACACCTAGGATCTTTCTGTTCTCTGTTGCCGTTGGAGCAGCATTGCCACACCACAGTTCTAGTTCTGCTATATGCTACCTTTGACCCTTAGACTAGAAGCACATATGTTGAACATTGTTTATTTAAATTTTCGCCATTTTGCACTCTGATTTATGTATAGTCCGAAACTGTATTACTCTATTACTTGACGTTATGCATGATTGTAAAAATCCACAGCACTGTTGTGCCCACCTAGATGAATCCTGGAGACCCAAATACCTACCTCTCGTTCCTCTGAGTGACTGTTTGATTTTGGTGGCATATTTTAAACAACTTTTTAACTTTGGGGAATGTTTTCATTGCCGTTTAAGCTACTCAACACAAATAGTCATATTCATTTAGATTTAGACAGTGTGGCTTAAAAGCGACATTCATCATATTATAACTTTTTAATGTTTGTTATTGGCAACGCTGTCTGCCTATTTCCAGTTGCTATGCCTGTGTCTCTCTCTTACTCACTCTAGTTATGGGACTGTTTACCAGTTTTCAGTGATTTTTAGTCTCACCGTCTCACTCTTCCACTTCCCTTGATCGAATAAACATGGCAGACATTTCGAAAGAAGATCTCCGCAAAGAAATTGCCGGTAAGTGCTAATTTTATCTCTATTTTATAGTTTGTGACCCTGAAAATAACAAAACTAAGTTTGTAATTTTTTTCTACTCAATTTTTCTTAGTGAATTTTTAGAGGTTTACAGTTAAAATCGGGCACTTCTCTCTTGGCGGAATATTACTTTGGCGTACATAAACAATGGCTGCAGGACGCTGTGGTAGCCTTTCTAATTTTCAGCTTTGATAAATTTGAGTTTTTCTCTGAAAGTATACACTTGATAGAAAAATGCTATAGACATATTCCATGTAGAAAAATAAATTTGATTTTTGTGGAGCATTTTCTCCTACGAATCTACGATATTTCTAGTAGTTTTATCAAAAATATAAATCGTCCGGCATTTTGATAACGCTCACTCTTGTTGCGGTAGCGTACGGAGCGGTAGCCAATTTTTGTGATGTTTCTTAAATATATGGTCATTACCAGTCGAGACTTATCTAAAGAATAAATCGTAATTATTATCGGAATTGCTTCGATACAGGAGAAAACATGCTAAGTTTATTATCTTGAAGGCTTTACCAGTTAATTTGTCGAAGCCAAACAAGTAGATAGTGAGGACCTTAGCTATCATTCATAGGTGTTTTTGAGTAGTAAAGAATTTGTACAGCCAAAAATTAAATCTGACTTGTTTTTTTTCGTAAACACTAGTAAAAGGTCAGCAGCAATCATTTTTCGTCATTTTCTATTGCCACCGCAAAAATATTGCTCTATCGATATTTTTGTTATGGTTATGGTATAGTACCATTACCACATGATTTTTGATTGTGTCCTTTCCACAATAATATTACCATCATTCACATTGAAAAACGAGTTATTCAGCCAGAATTATTTCTAAATATAGTACAGTAATTTTATATTGGAATACCATTTTGAATTGAATTTCTGTATATCCGACCATATTTCGCCCACTGTAGCCTTTTTCAACAAATTACAATTTAGCTGACAATATATTTTGCTTATCTCTATTCCAGGTGACATTTCATTATTTTTTTTTCACATTCCTATGCAGTGTGTTACTACAACAGCCTAAATGGTCCTGTAATACTGAGATTAAGCGAAGCCATCATTGCATTTTTTACATGACACACAAAATGAAGGCTAGCCTCCAAAAGTGACAAGCAGGCATTTGGTAATCTGTCATTTTTACCACTGTCTTTTAAACGCCAAAAGTCCTCTGAAAACGAGAAAACCCACCCAGAACTGTTGTAGCAAAATACACTGGTTGTTATGGAATCTGTGAGAACAAATGCTGTATGTGCATTGTTTATGGATCTATAACTCAAGAGAAACAAGAAAAGTCGAAAGTAAATTCATGTCTTCAAGTTGTGTCTTGTGAAGATACAATATGTCACAGATCCAATGCACATGGAGCATTTGTAATAGAGACTGATGACAATAAACTGGTGTATTGCAACAACAGTTCAGGATCGGTTTTCGAGTTTTCGGAGGACTTTTGGCGTTTTCGGGATGATAGCACCAGGGGGACGTGTCTGCTAAATAAAGAAAACCTCATGCTCATTTGCCTCAGTCGGGGCTGGGCTGGCTTCGCGCAATCTCAGCATGTTACAGGATCTTTCACACTGTTTTTACAAGGAAGCAGCTGTGCAGGCAGATGCCTAAATGCCAGGGGACATCGACTGTTGTAGTAACACACTGCATAGGAATGTGAGAAGGAAGAAAGCAAATGAAATTTCAACTGGAAAACAGATAAAACATAATATATTGTCATCAGAATTATTGATACTTGGACTTGAGAAGGCCTCAGTGGTGGCAGAAATGTCATACAATAGACAGAAATTTGAACATGTATGTGGTTAGATTTGGCAAGACAATGAAGTCCTATGAAAACCATAAGTTTCAGGAGGTAATTTTTCAGATGATTTTCTACACGTTGCTATAAAATGACTTGAAATAATACAATTATTTTCATTATATTTTTAATACTATGACTAAATCATACTTGCTTCTTTTTTTTTACTCTTCCCCCATATCTTTTTTGAATGGATCAAGTCAGCAATTTGAAATTCAGTTTATGTCCAATAGGAATAAGATTTATTTAGGATTTAGAAAATGTTAAATATGAGTTGCTTATATCGATTGGGTCTAGGATCAACCATTTTCAATCGGGTCCTGCGCGCATGTCAAAACTTTGTTGATGGCTGATTATTTTCCAAATGTTGAAAATGTGTGTTAAATATGGAGGAAAGAAGATCTAATTGGTCGACCAGCTCCAGAGAAAACAAACTAAAACTTCAGAAATAGTTTTTTCCGATTGGTAATATTCCAGTACATACATATATACTTTTCAAGAATTAAACAGCAGTAAAGACCTTTAGTCCCAAGTTGTGAAATTATAGCGTGTTACACCGGTTTTCCCTCTTGACACGATGTTATTTGAAAACATGGAGGAGGCTGAATATTGTTTAAAGGTTCACAGGTATAAATCAGAAAAAAATATTTCTGGCTTTTTATTTCATTTTAACAGCTAACTGTAATCTTGTTTTTAAAAATGTAATTTTGATTTAATTTATTTGAGAGTGGAGATGTTAAAACCTCAAGTTTGGAGTAAAATTATTCAAAAGTATATACCTGCTTCTTTTCTGGTTTCACGTTTTATCTTTTCAAAACTTCTCGTTATCTGGGTTATTTCTTGAGAAAAACAAATACAGATGTAACAGCCAACTTTGTTCTATTTCATGAGCATTAACTTAATAACCCTCTGAAGCAAAATGTGTTTCACAAATTACTGATGTCTTACTGAGGGTAAAATTAACCTTTCTTATTGCACATATCCCAAACAGACATTTTATCAATTAATCTATTAAAAATTAATGTTCTTCCTACAAAGAGGATGATCCTAAATGTTGTAACAGGAATTTTGAATTTGATTCCTAAGATCATCCTGCATAAATCCTCAACTTAAATGTAGTGATCGAGATTGTACATTAGTATTGGACCCTGGGATACCATACAGTTGACTGTTCCTCAGTAATTCAATTCGTCTTCAGTTGTTTGGCTAATGGGTATCCTCACTCTTAAGAGTGGCATCTGCATTTCCCTCTGTTGGTATCAAATGCGAAAGGCCCATGCCCACTTGAAGGCAGTCCCTTAACAGGCAGTGTGGCTTATAGAGTGAGAGAAAGGTATCTGCCTTCCCACACCCTAAGAGGATCCTGAGGAGAACCAATTCTGGTAGGATAGGAATGTAGAAGACCATCTTTTTGGAAATGGTGACCTAGACCAAACCTGTATGACGTTTTGAAGTAAGGAAGTGGTAACTATGTGTGGTCCTAGTTATTATAAACATTTATATTTTATATTACTTTAATAATAGATGCTGCGCATCATCTTGGAAAAGTAGATTAAATAGAATGGAGGCTTATGTGATATATTATCTTTGAACACTGACTTATGACTGAACAACTAATACATTTAACCATATACAAAATAGTTTTTAAATCAAACATTCTGTATTTAATTGGATATTTTAATAACCTTCCCAGAGGATAAAATTGATATAACAGGGCTGTGACATACTGTGGTTAATTAATTTTAAGCAAGTCACTGAACAAGAATCCACAACTTTGACAACATTCCAGTTCGCTATTTTGAAACCTAGATAATTTTATATTCTAAAGTTTCAATGTACTAGCTTTATCACATGACACCCATCCCATTTAATTTGAACTTATACCTAGCATCATCTTGAAATATTTCACTAAACAAAAACTTCATAATTTCAAATTTAAATTTGATGACTTGATTTTTATTTATTTTTATGAAATAAGTATTTTGAAAGTAATGTATTTAGTAAGCAAAATATACATGAGTAAAATTCGGCATAGTTTGGTTATAATTTAACATTAATGCATGCCTTAACATAAAATGGATTCTCTTAAGAGGTACCAGCTATGAGATAAATCTTTGTTAAAAATGGCCAAGTAGTTTTGTGCCAACTCCTCTAGAAATTAAATAAAGAATACTACATTTGAATATTTTTGTGTATGTAGATTACAGAATATGTAGGGGTAAGGACTCAAAAATGTACCAAGTAATGGAAATATTCAATATCAGAAAATAATGTCCCAAAGATAGATCATGGTATATTGTATATTCAAACCTCACAACATACTCATCAAAATAGATTAATGAAGAATAGTGAAAACTTAAACTAAAAATTCTGTTTGCAAATGTCACTTTCATGTATTTTTGTTTCTGGTCCGAACAGCCATCTTAAAAGATGCCGACTTATCTTCCACATCCGCTAAAAAGGTGCGACAAGAGTTGGAAGAAAAGCTGGATGCGAATTTGCAATCAAGAAAGAAGGAAATTGATGATCTGGTCATGGAGTTTGTAAGCTCAAAACAGGACAAGAAGAAGAAGGGGAAGAAAGCAGATTCTGAAGAGGATGAGGAGGAAGAAGAAGAAGAGGAAGAAGAGGTGATTATAAAAATCAGATTATGCATATAGAATGTTCGGAAACTAAAGGATAATCCTCCATCTGAAATAGGTCACATCATGACGTATTATTTGACAAAATTTTGTTTAGTCTTATGGTTCGCGGTCGACGATCATGAGGCTCATTCTCGACAGTTTCGCAGCCATCCTTGAATGCTTTGGCCCATTCAAACACAGCGGCTCTACTCAGGCACTCACTACCGAACTGGTTTCGCAAACGCAGGGAAACTTCCGTGTTTGTAACGCACACTAAAAGACGAACGACAATACGTTGCGCACCGGCGGTCGGCACTTGACCTTCACTTACGCACGCGCGTGAAATATGCGCTTCCGACGAAAGCTGTGCCTCACTGTTTGTAAGGGACCCAGCTATCATATACTCAAGCCACAACCTTTAAGACATACATGCGCACCATCTACAGCATTTGTCTCCATCATATCTGACCCGCCCTCGTAATTTATATTTATATCTAAACAAGACAATGTATTAGATTTCATACGAGGCAAAAAAATGCAACGAACTTGGTTTCAAATTAAATATTATCAATGTGAAATATATAAAATTGCTTGGTGTGTATTTGGATTCCTGTTAGGAGTGGAAGCAGCACTGTGACTGTAATAAAGAGGCTCAATTCATTATAATAATAATGTTTATTTGTAAAATACAATTATTTTCGAATAAGACAAATAAACATAAAACATATTATCTATTATTAAATTTAAGAGATATTCTACCATTAAATCAGTTAATCAGTTTGTATCATGCACAGGTTGACTATCTTAAGATATGGCATATATCATTTTGGGGGATCTCCACTAATCTACTAATTCAAAAGATGTGTTCGTGAAACAGAAAAGAATTATCAGATGTATAGCAGGTGTTGGTGCTAGAACATTATGTAGAGATCTGTTCAAGACATTCAGAGTACTAAAACTTACTGGTTTATACAGGGTGTCCGCAAAGTTGGGGTTTTCCTTTTCAGAAACAACTACCTTTGAAATAACAAAGGTAATGTGTAGTGAAACGAGGGCGACCAAGTAAAAAAAAAATAAAGGGAAAAGTACTCACTCTCCAGTTGACGAGAAGGGCTAAGTACGTCTCTGCCTGAAATCGAAAGTTATTTACCCCATTACGCGTGAACGTAGATTCGTCTGTCACCAATATGCACTTCAAAAAGTCCGGATTATTGTCATGTTGATGCAACAACCACTCACAAAACCGCACTCTTGCTGGAAAATCGTCAGGTTGAAGGGCTTGTACACGTTGGACGTTTGCCACACTTTAGTTTTTGATACTTGCACTTCTCTAGCCACGTCTCTAGTGCTTGTTGAGGGATTCTCGTCTACGCGATTCAGTAGTTCTTCCTCAACTTGCACCATTCGTGGTTGTCTAGGCCTCCCACTGTGCCCACCTCGAAATTCCTCCAAATGGCCCGTATGTCTGACTCTCTGGACCAGGTACACAAATCTGCGGGGCCTTGGATGATGTCGTCTAGGGAAACGATCTGCATACACTCGCGACGATTCTGTAGCATTTTGAAGACATTCGCCATAAATTAACAACATATCAACGAGTTCATTATTGGTGTATGAGTGTGCCATTATTTTTTTTTTTTGAAACGCAATCGATTATACGGGTTCGTTACCTCTATACGCGTGACCCTTTACCGTCGGTTGAAGGTTGCATACTGACCTGACACACTGACCCCGACCCCCGACCCAGTTATGTCGTCGGGTTCAGCTAGTAGCCGGTACCAGTCTGGGATATCGCGGCGGGTCGCGGCTACAGGACGGTATTCAGATATTTTTGATCTTGCAGAGCCCTTTATCTCGGTTCCCTTAAGACATTGGTGTATATGGTACTAAGACAAATTGCTTATGTTTTCAAGATCTACACGCCGTGTAAAGGAAAACCCCAACTTTGCGGACACCCTGTATATATTGGAAACTTGTTTATATATATATATATATAAAAATAGAGACAAATTCCCAACACACGGCCAAATGCATTCAATTAATACAAGGATTAAGGAAGACTTTTATATACCACCCTATAGAACTCCAATTATGTGTAACTCCCGAAATATTAATGACCTAAAAATGTTTAGCCTACTTCCTTCGGAAATAAAGAATTGCCACAGTCAGAAAAAAATTAAGAATCTCCTAAAAGACTATTTAATTGAAAATAGCTTTTATAGTGTGGAAGAATATTGTGATATATGCCGTTAAATTTTATTTTTTACTATTTGACTGTTTTTTGTTAGATATAGTTTTTTTTTATGATTTGAAAATGTATGACGGTTCCTATACAATGTTTTTTGTCAAGAGGAAATAAATAAATATTCATCAGCTTAGTGGTGTGGCCCATAAGCTGAATCGAGTTGCTGTTGAAAGCCTTATGATTCATATATTCTCTTGAGCAAAGTGCTGTAAATTGTGAATGTCATAAGGCCCTGCTCTTTGAAAACTGTCTTCATCCATTCATAACATTTTTTTATGGAAAACTTCATTTCTGAATTGTTGGATCATCTTTCTGCAAAATTAGCCTATCTTTGGGTAGTCTCCTTCAGACCATAATATACTAAGTGATATATAAATCCGAACACCCAGTTTAAATGGTTTTATTTTAATAAAAATTTGTTTAAGTACTTAATGAAGCATAATAAGTAAATGATAAAAATTTCAAAATGATTTCACTGCTTTAAAGCCCTTTGACCTTTAATAATGTGTGGATGCACCCTGATGTGCTACGCATTCTCCAACGCGCCTATGCATGCTTCTGATCAGGTGGCCAATGTCCTCCTGTGGTATCTTATTCCAGGCAACCACCAACTCCTCTCGAAGTGCTTCTAGAGTCTGAGGAGGACGTTGCAAATTGAGCAATCTCCTACCCATCATATCCCACACGTGCTCAATTGGGGATAAGTCGGGAGATCTTGGTGGCCATGGTAACAATGTGACATCATTATGTTGAAAGAAGTCTATTGTGACTCTTGCAACATGTGGTCGGGCATTATCTTGTTGGAAAGTTGGATCTGCCAGGCTGTCAAGATAGGGTAAAAGATGGGGTTCTAGAATTTCGTGGATATAACGCTGCGCGTTCATGTTACCTCTGATGAAGATTAAAGGTGACCTGGAACCATAAGCTGTAGCACCCCAAACCATAACTCCAACAGTGTGATGAACATGTCCTTCAACAAAAAACAGTGGATTCCTCCTTTCACCACGTCGCCTTCTAACCCTGGCACGACCATCGTGCATGCCTAAACAAAATCGAGACTCGTCACTAAAGACAATACTGTTCCATTCCTGATCCCAGAGTGACCGTTGTCTGCACCACTCAAGGCGATTACGTCGGTGTTCTCAAGTTAAAGGGAGGACCCAGTGTGGCCAGTATGAAAACAAGCCAAAACTTCTCATTCGCCGGTAAACACTTCGCATGCCAATAGGTCTTCCGTGTTCTGCAAACCATTCATTTGCAATGGACCTGGTAGTGGAGAAACGGTCCCTTAAGGCCAATAATCTTAGGCGGCGATCTTCACGGTCTGTTGTTCTACGGCGGCGTCCAGTGCCCCTTGCTCTTTGCGTACGGCCTTCTCGAAGCCATGCCTGACAACACCTAACCACAGTGTCTACACTTCTTTGCACTCTAACTGCAATTGCCCGAAAAGAAAGTCCAGCTTCCCGAAGTCCCACTATACGGCCCCTATCAAACTCACTAAGTTGACGAAATCGTACAGGTCTCCGTACTCTAGGCATCGTAACCGATCGTAAAGGATGTCAAGAACCAAAATCCGCCAACGTTCATTCTTTACTGCGGCTGAAATATTCATTTTTAGAGCGTTAGTGAATTAAAAAAAAAGCAGTATAAAAACCGGAATGTCCAACTGATAAGGCTGAAAATTTTTTCACTTGTTATTTACAGTTAGATAAATACATTCACCAACTTTTATTAAAATAAAACCATTTAAACTGGTTGTTCGGATTTATATGTCACTTAGTATATATATAACATAGATAACTTCAGAAAAAAAGAACAGTCTCTACAAATTCTTGAAATTGTGGATAATTTAAAACCCTGCTCTATCGGTTAAGGACATATGTTTTTTGATTGGTAATGGCCATTCCTATCACCTCCTTTTCTTTGATCCATGACTTTTGGGGTACCGTGTGTATCTGTCGACTACAGACGAGTTGCCACTAGTTATATTTCTTTTTTTGTCATAGAGGAATTGTGAGAACACGAAATCTCAGGAATGATCATGAACTAGGTTGAAAGGTGTATATATATATATCTCCTTTTCAAAGGTTGTCATTTTTGAGAATAAATAATTATCTTTGAAAGAAACATGGAATCACCTTGATGCGCCATGTGGTTGAGCATTTTCTTGGCGCAGTCATTACACACCACCCTGTCTGTTTCTCAACTTGACCAGTAAATTAAGCAGATATGAGTAAAATGCTTCTATTTTCATGGTAGCCTTTTTCAAATTATAAAATCAGTAAAGTATAAAATAAATTGTGTTATCAATGATATATTCATAAATTGATGTATTCAGGTTATTATTATTATATATTATATACAGGTTATTCTGTTTCACTCTTTAATATTTTATGATGAACTAGGAATCTGAAGATGATAAGAAGAAAAAGAGAGCATCCACGGGAAAGAAACCAGCTGCTAAGAAAGCCAAGAAAACTTCTGATGATTCTGCCAGTGAACAAAGCGAAGCTGATTCTGAAGAGGAATACAGTCCTAAGAAAGCAAAGCCTGTCAAGACCCGCAAACTTCCTCCCAAGAAGAAGAAGGGCTCAGAGTCTGATTCTGATGAAGACTGGGGCAAAAAGAAGGGGAAAAAGGTAAGATTTCTTACAAAATCATTTGGTGTCTGCCATATTGCATAATATTTTTAGATTTAGATTTTTTTAGGTCAGTATGTTTATACATTCTCAACCTCAGTAACTCTACGCATCTACGAGGTCTATAAATTAAGCGATGAGACTGGCAACGTAGCGTTAGATCTGGCAACACTGGAGGCGCTGGGCTTGGAGGGGAGACAGGGAACATATGATCCGGCCAGCGTTGCCAGACGTATGATAATCATCGTTTCTGTACGATAATTTCAAGTACTGTACGATGTACGATAGATACTATGTGAAGGATAATAGCTGACTGTCGGATGATTTTGCGAATGAGCTTTTTTACTCTCAGATGTTGAACCAATCTAATAACTACGTTCATGTTACACCTGGAAACAGCTGTCAGTGTTGCCGCTTGGTAGACAAGCGCGCGTACCCCACTCTGTATAATATGTTGCCTAGCATTACGTGGACTACCCCGGCAAACATCGACGGGAAAAATTGCCGGCAATCAGTTATCACGTTCTAAGTATTGACATGACGCGCATATTTTTATTTACCCATGTGCACTAGATGACGTTTTCATGACTTTTGAAACTTAAAAATCAAAAGATCGTTTTACAGTTATTTTGGATATATAACAGGTTTCGTTTCAATTCAATAACGATATGTCGGATTCCGAATCAAGTTGCTCTGGAGAGAAGCACAACAAAAGATGCGATACTCTCGAACAAAGAAAACAAAAGAAAAGGGATCTTTGAAGAAAGCTAAACATAGACAGGAAGCTTATAGGAAAGAGTGGGAAACAAAAGAGCCCCGCCTTACTTTTGCGGAACATGATCCTTTATGAACTGATGACGGCGTTGCGTGGAAAGTGCAGACTCAATTTACGTCACACTATTTTTTTCTCTGTTACAGGGTGGCGGCAAAAAGGGTGGCAGTGGATACACCAAGACCATGACTTTATCTCCAGAGTTAGCGGCTCTGGTTGGATCAGACTCGATGGCCAGACATGAGGTGGTCAAAAAGGTATGGGCCATCATCAAAGAAAAGAACCTCTATGACCCCACCAACAAGCAGTATGCCATATGTGATGCTGCTTTGATGAAAGTTATCGGAGTAAAGCGTTTCCGTACCTTTGGTATGATGAAATATCTAAAAAATCACTTTATCAGTTAAATTGTTACAATGAAACCACTCTACTAGCGTATCACAGTTCTGTGCTATGTTCATGTTTTGATTTTTGACGTGTTCGAAGTAATTGTGTTCTTTCTTCAAAGCATTGTGCATCTTGAAAAAATGTTTTATAAAGTATGATTGGACTTTATGATGTAATATCATTTACATTCTCTGTGTGTACTTCGTCGTGTCAAAAGGAAATAGTATTCAGTGTTCTGATTTTATTTTATCCAATATTGCAAGTAGTAGTGTTGATCTCTGGAAATATTTCTGCAACACTTACATTTCTGAGTATTCAGAACCTTTTCAGAATTGTGTGCAAAAAACCTTAAAATTATAACTTGAGCAAATTTGAACTTTGCTCATCCAGTATATGCAGTTTTGGTCGCTACATCTAGATCCATCTTTTTCTCAATCTCAATCTCAATCTCGTATTAATAATCATGCTGGTTGGTGACAGTTTGACTAAATTGATTGAGTTAAATTAGAATATTTTTTATTGTAAGCTTATCAATTGAACTGAATATTCTAGTTTTAAGTTTATATACTGATTTTTTATTTTTTTCAATTCCACTGTAGTTTACGAAATTCCTGTGCACTTGTATATGTTTTTCGAAATTATGTCTGGAGAGAAAAGTTTGTAACCAATAAAAATAGTAAAAGTACCTGATTCTTTTATTTTAGGATTTTTTTATTCACAAATTCAATTCATATTATAAGAGAATCTAGGAGGGCAATTCAACTTTGTTCCACCATGTATCATTTAAGACTTCGCGATTTGTTTTTAACATTATCACCGATAGATTTTATCTATGAGGTTGGGATGAGTATAGTCGAGGACATGGAAGATGTTTTTATATTTCCATTACTAAACCAAAATTTATTGAGCATTTAGAAGGAGCTTTTTCTGGCTAGTTATGTTAACTGTCATACACCAACCACAGGAGTATGCTGCTCAACACTTATATCGAATTCAGCACTGGTTTACGGATATTTTGTAACAGGTTGGCTTTGATTAGTTCATATGTTACTAGTAGTAGTGTGGAAGCAAAGCCTGGCAATTAGATCATGTTTGTCCCTTTTTGCTGACTATATGGTTGTCAACTAGTTTTATTCATCTCTTTTTGATCTGTTAATGAGGACCAGGATATGCGACCACTCTGCTGAGTGCCGCTTCACTATCAAACCCCATTAATCAAAAAACCTTTGGCTGTGATATACGGTGCCAAGAGTCTCTCTGTTCAGCTATAGATGGGACAGCAGGATGGTTAGGGACTCATTTTTCTCATTACTCATTTTTTCATAGATTTTTCTCATTTTCTTCAGGACGTTTCCACAAAAACTTTTCGTCCGGTCACAGAAAGATACAGTACATTAACATATTTGGTTAATCCATCCCTAGCAACCGGGAAATTTCCCGTTAAACTAAAAATATCCAGAATTATCCTTATACCCAAATCAGGAAATCCAGAGAACATCAACAACTACAGACCCAATATCCCTCCATTTGCAAAAATTCTAGACATATGTTGCCATTTGCCTGACCGATTACTTAATGAAACATATTTTTCGACCCATACCAATTTGGTTTTTTCAAGAAAATATCCACAGCTAAAGCCATTTCTGCTTTTCCAAACATTCGGTATACAGCCAAGGACAAAAATAAGAAAATAACAATATTTGTATATCTGAGCAAAGCTTTTTATATGGTAGATCACAAGCTTGTACACAAACTGGAGCTATACAGAGTAAGGGGACTTCCACTTACGTGGTTTGAGGGGTACCTGAACGATAGACCTCGGTATGTTCAGGCTGGTAACCACATACGGCATCGGAATTCCTCAGGCCTCAATACTCGGACCTATGCTATACATAAATGATTTCAACAGTAACAACTTTGTTATATATGCAGATGATACGTCTCTCTTAGTACATGCTGCTACAGTGCCGACCCTAGCTGCATGCTGCATCCACGACAACTGAATTCACACGTATTATTGAGTGGTTTGTTGATAATGACCTGGCAGTGAACAGAGAAAACTCATTGTCTGTTTCATGTATACATCGGAATCAGATCGCAACCTATTAATTCTCATCATCAGGGAACAATTAAGCAATGCCAGCTGACGTTTTTTGGACTTCATCTGTCTTACATTTGTAGTTGGGACCGTCACATAAATCACATTTGTAAGAAAATCGCTCCAGTGGGGGTATTGCATCAATAGACTCAGGTTTATAGTTGATAGACCCCTACTATTTATTAATGTACTACCTTTCCTACTTTCAGTCAGTTATAACCTATGGTATAATAGCTTAGGGGGCAACTTAACTAGCAAATAGGGTTTTTATTATTCAAAAGGATTATAAGATTAATGGCAGGGATAAACAGGTTGAATAGAGTTGGGAATTTTAACCATAACATGTATCTATATTTATGAGCTATTGTTACGTCAAATCAAATTTGAGAAGCTTTCCCAGTCTAACCGATAATCACAACTATTTATAATACTAGGAATGCTTTAACACTGTAATTCTATGCTCACAGGCTTGCCAAAACGGAAAATGATCCTAACTGCATGGGCATAAAGCTCTACAATAAATTACCTGAGTACTTAAACACATATTAATACAAGCAAAAAATTTAAAAAATGCTTATTAAAAAAGTGTATTATTCCATTAATGAATTTCTTTGTGACGTAATAATTTTTAGATGTTGTTTATATAGAGGGTGTCCGCAAAGTTGGGGTTTTCCTTTTCAGAAACAACTACCCTTGAAATAACAAAGGTAATGTGTAGTGAAACGAGGGCGACCAAGTAAAAAAAAAATAAAGGAAAAAGTACTCACTCTCTAGTTGACGAGAAGGGCTAAGTACGTCTCTGCCCGAAATCATACCGCTCCAACAGAAAATGAAATCAGCCGATGCGCTACCGAGCAGACGCCGGCGGTGGTGCAGACCAAACAAATAAGACGGCGTTGCCGCGTTTTCAGTTTTTAGGTAAACGTACTTTATAGGTATTGTTCGAAGTTATCGCCGTTTGATTCAAAAACACAGGTGCGTGCACGACGTAGGCAAGCATCGGTGCAGGCTTTGAGAATGGAGTCCCTCCCCCGAATGAAAGCACCAGCTTATTCAATTCTGAGACGAAGTTCGTCAACCGTATGCACTTCAGTTTTGTACACTGAGCGTTTCATTTCTCCCCAAAGAAAAAAATCACATGGTGTTAAGTCTGGAGATCGCGAAGGCCACGGTCCATTACGTCCGATCCACCTATTCGGAAATAATTCATCCAAAAACTCACGCACTTCGCGTCTAAAATGGGGCGGTGCACCATCGTGCAGAAACCACATTGATTGTCTTACACTTAATGGCACATCTTCTAACAAGGAAGGCAAAATGTTGCGTAAAAAGTCTAGGTATTGCATCCCGTCCAATCGATTTGGGAGAATAAATGGTCCAATGAGCATACCGTTCACCATGCCAGCCCGAATATTCACCGAAAATGTTTGTTGAAAATGTGCCCGACGGGCAGCGTGCGGATTTTCTACTGACCAAACATGAGTGTTGCGAAAGTTATTCACCCCATTACGCGTGAACGTAGATTCGTCTGTCACCAATATGCACTTCAAAAAGTCCGGAATATTGTCATGTTGATGCAACAACCACTCATAAAACCGCACTCTTGCTGGAAAATCGTCAGGTTGAAGGGCTTGTACACGTTGGACGTGAAACGGATACAGCCCCTCTTCACGCAGCGTTTGTCACACTTTAGTTTTTGATACTTGCACTTCTCTAGCCACGTCTCTAGTGCTTGTTGAGGGATTCTCGTCTACGCGATTCAGTAGTTCTTCCTCAACTTGCACCATTCGTGGTTGTCTAGGCCTCCCACTGTGCCCACCTCGAAATTCCTCTAAATGGCCCGTATCCCTGACTCTCTGGACCAGGTACACAAATCTGCGGGGCCTTGGATGATGTCGTCTAGGGAAACGAGCTGCATACACTCGCGACGCCTCTGTAGCACTTTGAAGACATTCGCCATGAATTAACAACATATCAACGAGTACATTATTGGTGTATGAGTGTGCCATTATTATTATTTTTTTGAAACGCAATCGATTATACGGGTACGTTACCTCTACACGCGTGACCGTAACCCTCGGTTGAAGGTTGCATACTGACCTGACACACCGACCCCGACCGAGTTCTGTCGTCGGGTTGAGACCTTGTACCAGCCGGTGATATTCCGGCGGGTCGCGGCTACAGGATGGTATTAAGATATTTTTGATGTTGCAGAGCCCTTTATCTCGGTTCCCTTAAGACATTGGTGTATATGGTACTAAGAAAAAATGCTTATGTTTTCAAGATCTGCACGTCGTGTAAAGGAAAACCCCAACTTTGCGGACACCCTGTATATATATGGTTTTATCTTGTTATACCTACCTGTTCAGTGTGTTGAATTGTTTTTATTTATCGTTGGTTCCTTTAACTTCTGTCAGGTTTATACAGGGTGTCCGCAAAGTTGGGGTTGTCTTTTTCAGAAACAACTACCCTTGAAATAACAAAGGTAATGTGTAGTGAAACGAGGGCGACCAAGTAAAAAGAAATTAAGGAAAAAGTACTCACTCTCCAGTTGAGGACAAGGGCTCAGTACGTCTCTGCCCGAAATCATACCGCTCCAATAGAAAATGAAATCAGCTGATGCGCTACCGAGCAGACGCAGGCGGTGGTGCAGACCACGAACAGAGGTAACAAATATGACGGCGTTGCCGCGTTTTCAGTTTTTAGGTAAACGTACTTTATAGGTATTGTTCGAAGTTATCGCCGTTTGATTCAAAAACACAGGTACGTGCACGACGTAGCCAAGCATCGGTGCAGGCTTTGAGAATGGAGTCCCTCCCCCGAATGAAAGCACCAGCTTGTTCAATTCTGAGACGAAGTTCGTCAACCGTATGCACTTCAGTTTTGTACACTAAGCGTTTCATTTCTCCCCAAAGAAAAAAATCACATGGAGATCGCGGAGGCCACGTTACGGGTCCATTACGTCCGATCCACCTATTCGGAAATAATTCATTCAAAAACTCACGCACTTCGCGTCTAAAATGGGGCGGTGCACCATCGTGCAGAAACCACATTGATTGTCTTACACTTAATGGCATATCTTCTGACAAGGAAGGCAAAATGTTGCGTAAAAAGTCTAGGTATTGCATCCCGTCCAATCGATTTGGGAGAATAAATGGTCCAATGAGCATACCGTTCACCATGCCAGCCCAAACATTCACCGAAAATGTTTGTTGAAAATGTGCCCGACGGACAGCGTGCGGATTTTCTACTGACCAAACATGAGTGTTGCGAAAGTTATTCACCCCATTACGCGTGAACGTAGATTCGTCTGTCACCAATATGCACTTCAAAAAGTCCGGATTATTGTCATGTTGATGCAACAGCCACTCACAAAACCGCACTCTTGCTGGAAAATCGTCAGGTTGAAGGGCTTGTACTTGAAACGGATACAGCCCCTCTTCACGCAGCGTTTGTCAAACTTTAGTTTTTGATACTTGCACTTCTCTAGCCACGTCTCTAGTGCTTGTTGAGGGATTCTCGTCTACGCGATTCAGTAGTTCTTCCTCAACTTGCACCATTCGTGGTTGTCTAGGCCTCCCACTGTGCCCACCTCGAAATTCCTCTAAATGGCCCGTATCCCTGACTCTCTGGACCAGGTACACAAATCTGCGGGGCCTTGGATGATGTCGTCTAGGGAAACGAGCTGCATACACTCGCGACGCCTCTGTAGCATTTTGAAGACATTCGCCATAAATTAACAACATATCAACGAGTACATTATTGGTGTATGAGTGTGCCATTATTATTATTTTTTTGAAACGCAATCGATTATACGGGTACGTTACCTCTACACGCGTGACCGTAACCCTCGGTTGAAGGTTGCATACTGACCCGACCCAGTTCTGTCGTCGGGTTGAGCCAGTGACCTTGTACCACTCGGTGATGTCGCGGGTCGCGGCTACAGGACGGTTTCAGATATATTTGATGTTGCAGAGCCCTTTATCTCGGTTCCCTTAAGACATTGGTGTATATGGTACTAAGAAAAATTGCTTATGTTTTCAAGATCTACACGTCGTGTAAAGGAAAACCCCGACTTTGCGGACACCCTATATATATATATATATATATATATATACAGGGTGTCCGCAAAGTGGGGGTTATCCTTTTCAGACACAACTACGCTTGATATAACAAAGCTAATGTGTGGTGAAACGTGAGCGAACAAGTAAAAAAAAAAATGAAAAAGTACTCACTGTTAAGTTGAATGGAAATTTTAAGTACGGCACGGTCGTAAAATCCGAGGAGCACATGTAACAAAAATAACAAAAAAGAGATCGAAAATATGACGTCGGTGTCACTGCTTTTTGGTGAACGTATTTTATTAGTACTATTCGAAGTTGTCGTCGATGGATTCAAAAACACATGTGCGTGCTTGGCGTAGCCAAGCATCGGTGCAGGCTTTTAGAGAGAAGTCCCTATCCCGAATGAATCCAGCAGCTTGCTCAATTATCAGACGTAATTCGTCAACCGTGTGCACCTCAGTTTTGTACACCAAGCTTTTCATTTCGCCCCAAAGAAAAAAATCACACGGTGTTAAGTCTAGAGATCGAGGAGGCCATACTCCGGGTCCATTACGTCGGATCCACCTATTGGGAAATGATTCATTTAAGAACTCACGCACTTCGCGTCTAAAATGGGGCGGTGCACCGTCATGGAGAAACCACATTGACTGTCTTACACTTCAAGGCACATCTAGCAAGGTTGGTATAATGTTCTGTAAAAGTCTATGTATTGTATCCCGTCCAACCGATTCGGGAGGATAAATGGTCCAATGAGCATGCCCATTTCCATGCCAGCCCAAACATTCACAGAAAATGTTTGTTGAAAGTGTGACCGACCACACATGGTATTGTGGAAGTTATTCACCCCGTTACACGTGAACGTGGATTCGTCTGTGACTAATATGCGCTTCAAAAAGTTCAGATTATTTTCATGTTGGTGCAACAACCACTCGCAGAATCGCACTCTTGCAGGAAAATCCTCAGCTTGGAGAGCTTGTACACGTTGCACGTGAAACAGGTACAATTCCTCATCATGCAGCGTTTGCTGCTGTTTAGCCTTCGACTCTTGCACTTGTCTAGCCACGTCCCTATTAGTGCTTATTAAAGGATTCTAGTCCATGAGATTCAGTACTTCTTCATCAATTTGCACCATTCGGGGTTGTCTAGGTCTCCCACTGTGCCCACCTCAACATACCTCCAAACGACCTGTATCCCTGAGTCTCTACATAAGGTAAACAAATCTACGGGGCCTTGGATGATACTGTCTGGGTAAACGAACTGCATACACTCGCGAAGCCTCGGTCGCATTTTGGAAGACACTCACCGTAAATTAACAGCATGTCGACATGAGTGTGCCATTTTTTTATTTTTTGTACAGCAATCGGTTATCAATGTAATGGTTTGATGACCTACACTACCGACGTCTAGGTTAGGCTGCATACTAGCATATTTACATCGTAGTCGTACGCTGGCGCTGTGGACGTGATCGAGGGATAGAACCGGCTTCGGTTTTGTTGAGGTTTGATTGAGTTTGTGGAGCCCAATATCTCGTTTCTCTTAAGACATTGGTGTATATGCTACTTATTTAACCCACTAATTTTCTAAAGATCTACACGTCGTGTAAAGGAAAACCCCAACTTTGCGGACACCCTGCATATATTTACATCCCAACGTGGATAGGTCATCCTTTCATAAAGCAGTAATAACTCACAAATCAGAAATACTGAATATATATCAAATTTAATTCGTGAATATCCGACACCAAGATCAGAGAAAAAAACTACATTAGCATGTGGGATTTCAATATAAAGTCCGCTATATAGGTCACCCTTTCAAAAACCGTACGATGTGTCCTCTACCGAAGTACCCTCCAGATAACACGACGATATCCTAACTAGAATAAACGGTGCCGTTTACGACTGATTGGGTTGATGAAAATCAAAAACTGAAAACCAAAGTTTGTGAGTTTCCAAAATTCTTTAACCACCATAAAGAAAAATTGAACATGACTGAAAATGATCGGAGACGCCCAACAAACATAAAAAGGTATCTATTATTTCCTGTCACGTGTCCACATCTTCCCAGCCAGCAAGGACACGTATATTTCACGTGAAATGAACGTACCTCTTTACGTAGTATTCACGACCCTATTCGACGTGGAAAGTCCGTTGAATTTGTGGGCGAAATGTCAGATAGAATCGACGTCATTTTCTGACAGAGATTCCACGTGATTTATACACGTGGTTTTCACGCCCCTTTTCGACGTGGAAAGGCCGTTAATTTGTGGGCGACGTGTCAGATAGAATCGACGTTACTTTCTGACGACGATTTCACGTGATCTACACACGTCGCCTTCATGCCTCCTTTCGACGTGGAAAGTCCGTTAATTTATGGGCGAAGTGTGAGATAGAATTGACGTCAGTCTGACGACGATTTCACGTGACGACTAACTGGATGAAGGTGGTAAATAACATTTGGATCATAAATGAGTTCAATAAATTTGGCGAAGCCTAGAAGTAGTACTCTGTCCGGAAAACAGGTTGGTCCAACTGTGGACAATAACTGTTATTGTTAACAACCAGTTTTCCAGACAGAATATCACTTACAGCCTTCACCAAACATATTGAACTCATTTTAACCCAAATGTTACTTACCACCTTCATCCACTCAATCCTTCAAATGTTATTGTACTAAAGAAGGCCGCTATGGTGGAAAAAATGTTTACAATATACAGTATTTAAACATATATGTGGTTTGAATTGTAAGGGCGGACAAAATGAAGGATTAATACTATAGTGATTTTATTTGAAATAACTACTTGAATAATCATAACAACTTCTTAAAAACATGAGAATTCTGATGTTTTGTTCAAAGTTGTAAGCATTTTAGTTCTAAATATGTCTTGTTAACAACGTTTCACCGATTTCTTTAAATACAAACTATCATATCTGCTCATACATTTAATGTGAGATATGTTCAATATTATCACTATTGTCAAAATCTTGCTCTAAATGTCTCACATTTCTCAAAATATCTTCAGTTACTTCAAAATTTCAATTACCTGATTCTACAACACTGTTGTTGAGATGAAGCCACAACCTGGCATTTATTTTATTAAGTATTTGTTGAACTTCCTTTCAAACAAGTCTAATGATGCTCACTAATAACTTTCTTATAGTTCCTTTCACTTTGTGTCACTGTCTAACAAAAAAAAAAAAGAATGTGAGTAGAAAATCAAAGTTGAATATTGTTTTTAGTTAACACAATATTACCTTCTACTACTACTACTACTACTACTACTATATACTACTGAGGATAAAAAAGATATATGAATATTTTGTTTTATATCTTTTTGGTGCAAGCTTTAACCAAGTTTTAATGGCATCTTCTTCACATATCTTTTTTGGTAGCATTGGTGCCAGAAGGAACAGCCCCTTGAAATAAAATTTCAATATATAGATGTGATATAGTCAACTGTATACAAAATAAGATTAAACAATCCAAACATAAATTAAAATCAATATAATTTGACTGGGGAAAAATAAAATATGACAACTAAAATTCAGAATAAATTGTCTGATAGAACATTCTATGTTTTAGTTTTTTTATTAGTAAATATTTTTTTACTTGTTTACCTATATATAAAGCCGTCACATAAAAAAGGATTTTTGAATATAGTTGTACACCAAGTCTTGTATGTTACATCAGATACAAAAAAACAAAATTTGTAAGTAATAATAGGTCTGAAACTGTTTGGAAACCTATAAAGATCTGTTAGTACTTACTTATTACAACCTTGTTGAGAAATGAAGTTTTGAATGCCTTCTTCTCTTGTCTAGTTCCCAAATAATTGTAGCTAACTGCCAAATATCATGTCCCCCTAACTTCGAAAAGTACAAGATCTGAAAAAGAAAATAATATTTTCCTAATTTGGTCATATAACCAACTAAAGTCCTAATTACATGTATCAAATCCCATGGCTACTGCTATTCAGTATGAAAATGCTGTACAGTTTTACTTTTGCTGCACAGACTCATTGTTCTACAAACATAAAGTCCCACATTGTAATAAAAAAGTCTTGTGGGTAATGAATTTTTGCAGTTTAATTAGCAGCTACATTATTTGAAAAATATTCAAATTGAATTAATGCTGTTCCTTGAATCCATAGTATTTTCTCCTCTTCAAAAAGGCTGGGGTTATAAAGTTATGTTTTCTTCTTGAATCATAGGAAATTTTAGGCTGATAAAATAGATATAAATCAAAAGTATGAACATTTTGATGGGAATAGATATTTCGTTTGAATAGAATTACAAAGTGGTATGTAACATTTTTACCAAAAATTAAGGTTTTGTAATAACAAAGTTGTATGTGCTTTTTTCTATGAGTTTACAGAGTAACAGAAGCATAATATGTTCAAATTTCAAGAGTAGGCAATCATGCTTACATAGTTGCATGTTTTATAGTGGATTGGATAATATAACATAATTGAATGTGTACACATACAATTTTGTGAATCTGAGCATGCCCTGGCATTTCAGGAGCAGTTGTATGTGCGAGTCAAGAAGTGTAGAAGACGTCGGTGATACGTCCATTCTTTGATTATTTTAGGAATATTATATTCTGGCAGTGTTTGTTCTTTAAATCAAGTGAAGCAGTTTTAAAATGAATAGTGGTCCTTCTGATAGTGAAGACGATTTGAAAACAGATCAGCAAGGAGAAATAAGGAGACAGTGCCGAAAGAGGTTAGAAATGCATACTTATAAAAGGACATTAAAAATGCGTCAAAAACATACTGCTATTGTTTTAGGGAAATTGCAGGTACAGCTAGTGTGAGTGGCACAAGTCAACAAAGCCCCTTATTAATAACGGACAGAGATGAGTCCATAGTTGATTTAGAAGGTTACGACTCCGATAGGGATAGAGAATACTTACCATAAACATCTACTTAGAGCAGGTTTGTTATGATAACTATATCGTAAGGCTTTCTATTTATTGTGATTTGGAATTATTTCCAGCTCAGAAAACGAGGGAAATTATAGAGTAGAATAAGACTGAAAAAAGACAAACACTCGAAAAAGAAAAAGGAGTCCATCGACTTGGCAAATTGATATAAGAAAAAAGGCCCATGATTCAGGGAAGGAATACTTATCTGTAAGAAAAAAACATGTTCCAGCAAAGGCTATTATAGACAAAAAGAACTGCCTAAATAATTGTCTATATAGTTGCCAAAAATTAATTACAGCTGATGAACGGAACAAAATATTTGAAAATTATTACAAACTTGATGTTCAAACAAAAAAACTCTGCTTGATCTCAACAACTCAAAAGTTTTCTGTGCAGAGACGTAGAAAAAGAAAGGAAAATGATAATAGTCGCCGAAAATTTACTTTTCATTATTTCTTTAATGCAGGTTCTAACAGAATTCAAGTCTTTAAATTATTTTATTTGGGAACACTTAATATAAGCCAGACCCCAATATACAATGCTCATTCAAACAAAGAAACAGAATCAAACACTCTGAAAAAAGTACTCAAGGAAAGCATGCAAAACACAAAATTCAAGAAGCAGATAAAATATTTGTTAAAATGCATATAGAGAGCTTCCCAAAAGTAGAATTCCACTACTGCCGCAGTACCAGTACTAGAGAATATTTAGAGTCATCCTTAAGTGTCAAGAAAATGTATGATATGTATGTTGAAAGATGTGAAGCTGAGAACAGACAACCAGTAAAGGAATCTTTCTACAGACATATTTTTTTGCAATGATTACAATCTCCATTTCCATATTCCAAAAAGGACCGGTGTGACTTGTGTGAGGAAAATTAAACTATTGAAAAGAGAAGATAGATTGACAAATGAGAAAAATGTACAGTTTATAAATCATTCTACAGAAAAGGCAGTTTGCCGCGAGGAAAAGCAAAAAGATAAAGGAAAATTGAATACAGAAATACTCTGTTTTGATTTACAAAATGTTTTATCATGTCCTCGCCAGAGATTAGAAATTTCTACTACAGAAGCAAGTTTAATGTATATAATCTGACTAAATACTGTTAACTACTAAACAGGTATATTGTGCCCTTTGGCATGAAATGTTGATGGGACGAAGTGGTAATGATATTGCTAGCGCAGTTATAACTATTTTGGACCGAGTAGTCATTGACAATCCAGATATAAGCAGTCTGATTTTGTGGAGTGACAGTTGTATTCCACAAAATAGAAACTCATTGATGTCTTACGCAATAGCATATTTTGATGACACATTCTCCCAGGTATAGAAAAAAAATTGTTTGTTTTGTTAACTAGTAGCTATGTTTATTTCAAATTATGTCTACGTATGTATCAACAAAAAGCGTTATCTATATAGTATTAATACTACACATTCTATTTTGCCACGGCACAGTGCCTTCGTTATTAAAATAATTTGAAAATTCTTCTCTTGTCGCTTTGGAATCATTGGAAATGTTTCTGTAGTGGCCTCTCCAATAGATTTGTATCTGCTCTTAAACCTAACGTTAAAGTGCCCTCAATCGTATCTTCGATATCCAATGAAGTAGGGGGGTATAATTGGTAGAGTATTTATTTCTTAAAAAATTATGGAGCACGCAACAAGTCATAACTACAATATCTATATTTTCAGGAGCCAAATTTATACTAGTATGAAAAATTCTGAACCTAGAAGCTAATATGCCGAAGGCATTTTCTACAATGCCAAGGGATAATTGAAAATTCTGCGTTCATTTGTTAAATCTTTTTGACTGAATGGCTTCAAGAAGTTAGGGGTTAAAGCAAAGGCTTCATCGCCTATAAATACGTAATTAAGAACTTTATCAGAATTTTTCAATTTTTCTGGTTCCGGAATATGCAATGACTGGTTATTCAATTTGTCATAAAATTTCGTCTGCTCAATTACACCACCATCGGAAATTCTTCCATTCATGCCAAATTCGCATATAATAAATTCATAATTAGCGTTTACTGCCACCATCAAGACCATGCTATGGAAACCTTTATAATTATAAAAATAGGAACCACTTTCTGGCGGCGGGTTTATTCGTATATGCTTTCCATCTACTGCTCCCAAACAATGAGGGAAATTCCATTTTGCTCAAAGTCTTGTGCTATTTGTTTCCATTCTTCCTGCGAGTTTGGTACCTGTAACATATTTTTACCAAAAATCAATATTATATTATTGATAATTTTTTTTATCACAGAGTATTCCGACAGAACAGTGTCAAGCAGATGATGATGAGGCACAGTCACCAAGGGCACAGTCATCGAGTTTAAATCAAGATGGAAACGACATGTTGCTTCCTCCATCACAGAAAACTTCAATCAACCCATGCAAACGCAAGAAATCTTCGTCATCAGCAAATTCCTTATCTATCGACCAAACATGTGAAAATATAAACAAAAAACTGTTAACATTTAAACCTGACGACACTTATGAAGTATATGGAAAAAACATTGCATCAAAATTGAGAATCCTACCCAAAGATCAGCGTATTTGGGCGGAAAAAATAATAAACGACACATTGTTCGAAGCAGAACTTGGCAACCTGTATAGGCAAACAGTAACCAGAATCAATGATATTTACAATAACGGCTCTCTACACTCGCAACCTCACAATGATCCTTACTCACAAACACAGACTTCTCCATACTCGTACCCTCACAGTTCTCCTTATTCACAAACACTGACTTCTCCATACGCGCAACCTCACACATCTCCTCACTCACAACAACTACAGACTACTCCATACTCGCATTCAGAAAACAATTTTCAAACTCAACATTCACAACAAGAAATAAGCCAATCACGACCTCAATCCACGGAACCACGGAACCTTTCTCCAAATCAACATTCACAACAACAAGGAAGACGGACACATCTGCAAGAGCAAGACCAAATTGTACAATTAAAAATACTTGATGATCGATTCCCACAATCTGAGACAGTATCTCAGAACATTCCAAATCGACAATCACAACAATAAAAAGATAGAAATGTATCTACTTTTTGGGAAAATTTTCAACCTTGATTTTTTGTCATTGTCACACATTGTCTTTGAATTTCATGTTCTGAACTTTACTTCAAAAAGTGTACTCTAAATAAACATCATTTAACTCACCTCCATGTATTTTTTTGTAAAACCTTGTAAATGGCTCGGCAGGTATCAGGAATAATTTTAGATAAAGCTTGTTCAGAAATTGCTGTAGAAAATCTTAAATCTTGGTATGATCTTCCAGTAGCCAGGAACCTCAAAGTAGCGGTCAGCCTTTCGTGAGGTGATAAACTCTCACGCATAACCGTATTTTGACGTCGAATGAGAGGCGTAACCAAGCGTAATAGTTCACCATAGGCATTTTCATCCATCCGTAAATAATTTCGCCAGTCGTTTGAGTCTTCTTTTAAATCCTTCAGTAGATTTATATGCGAATGAATTTTTCTATTCAACAGCCATCTTTTCGTCCACTTCGATCGTTTACGTTTAGACTTTAACAGTGTCTTCTTCTTCATTAACAAAACCAAATACACCAACAGAAGCAATACTTCTTCATTGGGAGACATTGTTCCCACGACGACGATTTTGACAATAATGTGGCTTGCGCGTACTTAACTGTGCCGTGTGGTAGCCACGTCCGTGTTCAAGCTTCACCACAGTCTTACCTGCGCAGGTGGAACTGTGGTGAAGCTTGCGCGTGTGGTAGGCCCTTAATGGCCGGGATAGACGTTCCGTCATGCACATGAACTTGCTTGCGCAAACATAAATTGTACGGCAAGACTGAATTCCTCATTTGACCACTAACTATTCAGTCTTGTTCGTTTTGTTGATCAATTTAAACGTCCAGTTAATCAACATGGCTGGCGATCTATTATTGTGTGCGGCTGCTATTGCTATTATAGCAAAAAAGAAAAAAGTGAATAAGAGAACACGTTCCAAGTGGTCGAAAGAATGGCTACTTAAGTGACAGGAATTATCCCACCTAAATTTACTAAATGAGCTTCTATTAGAACCTGAGGATTGGTTCAATTATGTACGTACGGACGAAGAAACTTATATAGAATTGCTCCAGATAGTAACGCCTCAAATTAAAAGGATGGATACAGTTATGAGAAAAGCAATATCACCACATGAGAGGCTCAGTGCAACTCTACGCTTTTTAGCAACAGGAAGAAGCTATGCTCACTTGAAATTTTCATGTGCAATATCTCGTCAAGCACTTGGTGAAATTATACCGGATACATGCAGAGCTATTTACGAAGGATTAACAAATCAATATTTGAAGGTAAAGTATTTTATTAAAAACAGTATAACGTATACCTAATTATATTTAATTTAATTATTATCTTCAACGTTGTATCTTGAATAATATTCTCCAAGGGATTGTGAGAGGTTATTGGTTGCTTCCCCTAGCGATCTTGCAATTTCAGTTCCAATGGGCGATCTAAACCTTCCATGATCATACTGAAAAGTGTCTACTCCACGAATTATTGGATTTAATCCCCCCAAGCGTTGTAAGGGTTTCGTAGGTCCTTCTGGTGTCGATCTTAAAAGTTCAGTATTACTGGGCCGACTAACCTCGTGATCATACTGAAAAGTGTTTATATCAGGAGTTGTTGGTGTTCTGTCTGTTTCGATCTGGGTTACGATGTTTGATGTCTGGTTTAATTTTCCCATTTGTACTTGCTTCATTAATCGCCTTTTTGCAATATATGGCCATCTCAGAAGGCAGTTCCTGAAGTTCTTCGCCTACATGTTGGCCGGAAGCTGCATATTTTCCTTGATTTTGAAGTTTACTTGCTACAGTATTTAAAACTTCATCGCTGCGATCCAAATTCTTTTGACTTTTTCTCTTGACACTAATTCTGGAATTTGATGTTGATGTGGATGGGGTGACCGATAGAGGACGTAGTGATGTTTCGGATGAAGAATGGTCGTTTAAATTGTCTTCATGTTCGGTGAATTGGCTGTCGTCCTAAAAAATAAATAAATCAGATTATCAACTTATTTCATACTTTAAATTTACATCAAATTCTTCATGTTTGTTAATGCAACTATACTTTATTTAAGGCTTTTAATGGACTTTTATACTTTTTGATACTTTAAATAATAGCTATTTAGGCCTGTGTTGAAGTATATTTGCTTATTATGTTTAAAAAAAATTATTTACAAAACGTATGTATTTTAATTCATCATTCTTGTTTCTTCCAGTTTCCACGCAGCGAAGAAGAATGGAGAAGAATTGGTAGGGAATTTGGAGGAAAATGGCAGTTTCCCAATTGTTTAGGTAGCATTGACGGTAAACACATACGAATATCGCCACCGCAAGATGCTGGTTCTTTTTACTATTAATTATAAGGGATACAATTGCCTAATTTTAATGGCCATTGCTAATGCGAATTACCAAATAATTCATTGTCATATGGGCACAAATGGTCGCGTTTCGGATGGAGGTGTAATTGAAAACACTAAATTTTATGAAAAATTTGTTAAAGAAGAATTGCGATTACCTACTCCTTCCGCTGCAAAAAATAGTTCCACTCAGCTTCCTTGGGTTTTTATCGGAGATGAAGCATTTTCACTGCATAAAAATTTACTGAAACCATTTGGCTCGCGAGATTTGACAAGAGAAAGAAAAATTTTCAACTATCGTCTGTTTAGGGCACGCAGCATCATCGAGAATGTTTTTGGTATAATGGCTGCCCGATTTAGAATCCTTCATACAGAAATTAATTTAAAATTGGACAGTATAGATTTAGTGGTGTTGACGTGCGTTGTTTTACATAACTATTTGCGAAAAAACGGACTACAACGTGGACACAATCGAAATACTGCACAAGAAGCTAATGAAGTATATGTGGGATATTTTAATGGCGAGGGTCAAGTAAACTGGCAAAATAATATGATGCATTAGATCTCGTATAATAAAATAACACTAATAAAGCATTATAACGTTGTTGCTTTCCATTTAAAATGAATAAAGTTATACTTACATCTACTACTGGACCTTCATTTATAGTATCCATCCCATCCTGTCGCGGTGCCTCCTGATGGTCAGTCAAAAACATCAATAAATTAAAATACCAGAGATTTGGCCTATACAAGTCATACCCGACTGCGCACTTCTAGTTTTCTTTAACTCTTTGCGGAAACAAGTACGCAATGAATTGATTCTTTTTATTACGGCATCTTTATTGGCTGTGGATCTACCTCCTTTAATTTTTCTATGAGTATCTCATATGCCGCAATTTTCTTATGTTTGTCCGAGTATTATTTGGATTTCACCTTCCAAAGGCTGTTCTCTATATAAATTAATGAAGTCTATGTGGAAGTCTCTCGACATAAGCCGTAGGTCCGACATACTTGGACTCACTAGTTAATAAACTAAATAACTATATAATCTTCTTAATTTTAATATATATTATGTGCGCCCTGCACCAGGATAGTGTCTAGCACAAGAAGACGGAATTAATAAGTCGCAAGAAGGCAAGAACCGCCACACATTGCAACTACCGCTAGACAAGTCTCTACTCGCAAGAAAAAATCTGGCGGGTTTGATTTCATTCAAGCCAAACAATTGTCTGTACAAATTCAATAAGTCTACCGACTTATCAGTACAAGGCCGCGATAAATCGTGCATTTTAAGTTTGCGCAAGCAAGTTGATGTGCATGACGGAACGTCTATCCCGGCCATAAGAAATTTTTAATAGTATAGCTATGAAAAAAGGGTAGATCAAAGGAAGACGGAACGGTACACAAAGGTCAGCTTCAGCCAAAAGCATTACAGAGACGTAAAAAGAATTGCATCATTACAAAAGTAAACATAACAAGAAAACAATATGTAGCTTTCCAAATCTGAAATATAAGTATGTAAGTATGTAAAAATCTTGGGAGCTAATACCGGCGATTGTGATGAAAATTCTGCAATCTGGCAATGCAGCTATGGCACTCTTCGCCATTGTCGCTTCCCCTTTCAAGGCACGATATTTAAAATTTATTGGTCATAAAATGAGGAAACATCGATATTATAATTAATTCTCAACCACACCTCCATATTTTATTATTTCAATAAGATAGTCGATGATTTTCACTTAATAATGGCTAATACATCTGTTTACACGGCATTATTAAGTATCTATAACAAAGCTCGCAAAGCATTTTAGGTTCGATATGCGTTTTTATATTTATGGCACTAGGATGTATCTACAAATAAATTAAATCACCCAAACACTTATCATCATCATTAGGACGTTCTCTATCTGGAAGATTACAATTTAAATTTATGATAAAAATACCACGTCACATCCACGACTTTTCCACGTGTATAAATAACCAACGCAGCTACAGATGTATTTGCGGTCACTATTTCACTTGGATAAAACGTCCCTCATCGACCAGTGATGTGCTGCACCGGATTTCCACGTTTTATCGACGTTTATCGATTATATGATAAGAATACAGGAGAAAATTATAACAAAGTAATATGTTTACGTTAATTAATCGGTTAAGTGACTGCAACATAACCGGATTTTATTTGCGGCAGCGGAAATTGGTATAGAGGTGTACACACGTCGTAATATTCACGTTTTATCGACGTGGGGAGGTTATATCAGACAAATTTAAGCGAAATTTGGTCCATAACTGACGTCGAATAAATGTAGAATTTTCCCTAAATTTCAACTTCGAGCAAAATCACCAAATATCTACGTCGATTACACGACACCGTGCTGGCTGGGTTACAGACTCAAAAGAGGAGTGTATCAAATTTTTGCTATTTAAAAGATTCAGAGTTTCACTAGAAAATCTGAAGTGATTTGTTATTCAGATTTATATTCACGCAGCTAATGTCCTTTGACGATATTGCCAAAACACGAATTCCTTCGTAAAAGTGGCTAGGAACGCAGCTTGCCCTATTTTTCCACATTTCCAACATTCCAGCTTGCTGTTCTGGCGGCGACGTTCACTATCAAGTTCCTTAAACATGCGCTTGACGGACTCTTCGAACTCGTTATCTCCTGGTAGCATCTGGCGAACTCGGACCTGGCTTTTATTTGTGTTTTTAGCAGCTTCGAATTCTAAGGCCTGAGTTAGCGCATCCACTAGCTTAGGTGGATGTGCTAGTAGTAAGCCTTGCCTCATTCCACCATCACGAAGTCCATCCAGGAATGCTTGAACTGCCAATCGCTCCATTATCTACAAATGCCCTACTAGCTGTTCGTAGGCCTCTTGCTCTTCGGGTGATATTTTTTGAAGAATAGCTGCAGCATCTCCTCGCAGGGCCAAAGTGAGTGCAGTTGCCTTTTCGCTCGATGACCAACTATTTGCATTCGCGGCTGTCTCAAACTGATGCTGGTAGACATTTCAAGGCGTTGTACCATCAAATCGGGGTGGTTTCATTTGCAGATGACCAGCTGACCCAACAGAAGCTCCAATCTCACCTGATTTTTCCAACGGAAGTCTATGCCGTCGTTCGTCGATGGTCTTATCGTCTAAAGCAGCATACTTGCCTTGCACTTCTTGAATTCTGTTATCCCGTGTTTATAAAATCCGTTTTTCCAACTCGCAAGATTTTTCCATAATCTTATCTTAAAATTCTTTTTTTAAATTGGCAGTATTTTCCAAAAACTTCTCTTCTAATTTGGCTGTACTTTCGTGTAACTCCAAGAGTTTTCCTTCTAGGTTGGCACAATTTTCCACGAGCTTTCAGTCTAAGTTGGCTGAGTTTTCTAAAAGATCGACACAATTTTCCTCGAGCCTTTTTTCTAACTTAACTGAGTTTTCTAAAAGATCGGTGGTTTTGGTCGAAAGGTTTTGCAGCATTAAACCAATATCCCCGGCACTGGTAAACATGAAAATATCCGGGTCCTCGCCTCAATCAGTGGTTGATGAAGCTGCTACTGTAATTCCGCTTTTTTTCCAGCCATGTCGGATCGTCCGATTTATTTTCACTGAATGTCCAATAAACCACACCCCACACCTGACACTAATGTAGCGTTTTTCTGGGTTCTTTTGGGTGTGGATTGAAACACTGGGTTCCACAAAAAGAAATGCACTAATTTACTATCTTGACTAGATTTAACATTCATGTACAGCACTATTTATGTCTGACTAATTCTTATGCCGCGCCATTGACTGAACTATACTCCACTCTGCTCTGCTCTACTCTACTGTACTCTGCTTCCATCTCCCGGCCGTCGAACTATATAGTCCGCATCGCTGATTCGAGAAGAGTCCGGCGACTGGCGAGCCACAAAGCGGAAGTCTAGAATATTCGAGGTCACTTCGCGTCGATCTAGAAGGCGAGTAGAAGAGTCTGGCGCTGTCCCCAACAGATGGCGTCAACGATACTATTTATTCTTGTTACAATATGTTATACATTTTTTGAATCAGAATTATAAACTCTGTTCATCTACGTAAAAAATCAATATGGCGTATATAAGAAAAAATAAAGTTGATGCTGGGGGACAAGGAATGAAACGACATATTGAAATTCTATTTATGCCATCTTGTAAAGCAGAAAAAGTGGCAATGTTAATGTGCTATTTATGTTGGAATTCCACTACAAATAAAGTCAGAGAAAAAATAATATCGGAAAACTCGGTTGTTTCCACCTCTCTCCGCAAGTATTTTGAATTAAGATATCTTCTAAGCGGCATTTTATTAATTATCTAATAAATACGCAACTCTGCTCCCATTTAAACGATTTCGTATCTCTTACCTTTTCCGAGATCCCAATGGTGAGAGTCGAATTTGAAATACCGGGTACAGTATATAAGTAACGCGTGATTTTTTAAGAGCCTTTGTTTAAAAAAAATGCATTATGTATACAAAATCTTTATTGGAATCGATAAACTGGCTCTTGCCATTTATTTTTTAAAGATTACTTCATGCAAATGTTGACCACGGCTACGTTTTAAATAGTCCATATGGAAAGTCCAATTTTTCACTACTTTTTCCAGCATTTCGGCCTGAATACCACCAATAACACGTGTTATGCTGTCTTGTGAGACCTCAATAGTGTTGGGCTTGTCCATATACACCAACGATTTCACGTAGCCCCACAAAAAATAGACCAGAGGCGTCAAATCGCTTGAACTTAGTGACCAATTTACAGGGCCAAATCGAGAGATAAATTGCTCACCAAATTCATTCCTTAAAATGACCATTGTTTCACGTGCTCTGTGGCATGTGGCATCGTCTTGTTGAAATCACATGTCAATCAAGTTCAGAATTTCCCATTTGGGCAATAAAAAGTTACGGATCATGGACCGCCGATATCGTTCGCCGTTGACGACACGTTTCATCCGAAGTCGTCTGCAAAGAAAAACATCCCGATAGGTCCACTAGCCCATAAACCACACTAAACTGTTGCTTTTTCTGGATGCATGGACAATGCTTGTATAGTAGGTTAGTGCTCATCACACCAGATGCGGCAATTGTGCTTGTTAACATATATTATTCACTTAGCCAAAAGTGAGCCTCATCGCTGAACACAATTATTCGATAAAACAGCGGATCTTCTTCGAGCTGTTGCAAAGCTCATTCACTCAAAATTCGACGTTGTGGTAGGTCATTTGGCTTCAATTGTTACACTAGTTGAATTTTGTAAGCCTTCAAACCCAAATTGACACGTACAATTTTCCAGGTGGTGGAGTAACACATTCCCAACTGTTAAGATCTGCGGCGAATGGATACCATATTTCACGATCTTCATTAACACTGGTTGCCACGGATGGAAAATTCTCTACGGTACGCACTGTACGTATGCGAGTCGATGGTTTAATGTCCAATAAAGTAAATTTGGTACGAAATGTGGTAATTAATAACAATTCTAATTGTGGTTTCACTACTTCGATTATGACGACCATAAAATAGCCGTTGGTAACAGGCGAAACACATTTTTCACAGAGCGCGAATTTTGGTAATACATTTTGACGTTTGATTTTTAAAATCAGTCGATTCTTTTTCGAGAAAATTACAAAAATCTTTATTTATCTTAATTTGTTCAGATAGAAAACAAAAACACACTAAGAAATCACTTTTTATTTCAATAAATGTTCAAAATGTTGTCCGTTAAGGTTTGTCAAATCTACTATTCGTTTATAATTTAAAACGGAAACTACCAACATAAACAGCAATTCGGAAGATTAGACGTGGCAACATCCAAATAACAACCCGATTTTTCCGCATTCTTCTTATCAACACAGATATCCTGGGCAAACCGTATTTATTGTTATACCTGTTTAGTTATTTGTTGCTAACGGAACGAAAGAATTTAATTTGCTGTCAGTTACCTTTGTGACAATCTTGGGATAGTGAAAATTAATTTATTGATTCAGATTTTACTTCCAAAATGGTATACACACTAGCCGGAAGAGTGAAAATGATTCTGATTTATGGTGCCCAAAATCAATGTGCTCGACAAACTGCCGTCACGTTTATCTCCAGACATCCGGGGAAGATAACTTCGCATAGGTATGTTTTCTACCTTGTTACTAAATTTACTCAAACTGGATCTGTTGCAAATAAAAAACATGATAATCATTTCTAAACTCCATAAATTTCATCCATTCAAAATGAAAATATTGCATGAGTTAACCGAAATGATTTCGATAGGCGAGTTGAGTTTTGTGAACAAATGACTGTAGCGATCAATGATTATACCATTCATGTGAAGAATATCTGCTTCAGTGATGAATGCACATTTTATCTAAGTGGATTTGTCAATAAGCAGAACTGCAGGTATTGGAGAAATGAAAATCCTCATGCTTTTGTAGAAGAGCATACCCAGAACACCCAAAAAATTAATGTATGGGCAGGCATTCATTGTTTATTAATGGAAATTTGAATGGAGACATTTATTGAGATATGTTGGAAAATGCCATCAATCCACTTATCACTGAAACCATTGAAAACCAAATCGAACAGGATGGAAACCATATACTTGATGAGACTGAAATATATTTCCAGCAAGTCGGCGGTCCTCCTTACTTTGCTCTTGGCTAGACGACGAGTTTCCGGATAAATGGATAGGGCGAAGAGGGCTTATAGAAAGGCCTTCTAGATCTCCTGATTTGACGCCATTAGAATTTTTTATGGGGCCATTTGAAATCTATTGTGTTTACTCCACAACCTGAAAGTTTGGATGAACTTCGTCAACGCATCATCGAAAGCTGCCTTGATATCCCACAACATGTTTTTGAAAATGTCCGTCAGAAATTTGAACATCGCCTATATCATTGTTTGGCCAATAAGGGGCAACATTTTGAACACTTATTGAAATAAAAAGTGATATTTTCGTGTGTTTTTGTTTTCTATCTGAACAAATTAGATAAATAAAGATTTTTCTAATTTTCCTGAAAAGGAATCGACCGATTTTAAGACATCAAACGTCAAAATGAAGGACTTTGAAAAACCTTTCAAACAAGCTATTACTTGATACCCCTTGTCATTTAAATTTTTTAAGGGGATGCCTCTGGTGGGCGGGGTGAAAGGGGGTGAAGTAGTTTTTGGTTAAACAGTTGTCCACCTTAACAAATCCTTTGTCGTGTCTCGGCGTTTTTTTTAATCAGTGGTTTTCGATAAATCCGTGGTGGGAAGTTTTTAAATAAAGACCCTGTATATAATTGGCAATTTTTTGTAGCGAGATAATATCGAGTCATGTTTTGACTCAAAAAGAAATGGTTCGTTGATCATTCCGAAGAGTTAAAATCAGTACCAGCCAGTGGTATATTCTTGGCTTTAGAATTACAGTTACTTGTACCAGACCGGCCAGACTACTCACAATTCGTAAAGCAGGGCATTGCACTAACGTGCCTCCTGAAGAACGGCATGGCATTGAACATGCTAATGGTTTAGAAAGTGTAAATGTGGACAAATGTTATACGTGGTAGTGTAGTGTAGTTTCAGGCTGCAGGAACTGAACCATGTCATGTCATTACCATGATAAGGTAGAATTTGTGCTTGTTCTTTATTTTCTATATAGCTGTTATACAGGTAAGTGGATTCTGATTTGTACGTGGTAGTATTATTAATATACTATTATTATTACTATTTGATCAATGTGGTTTAGATTTGGTGATCTCGGTGGGTATCAAGATTAAGAGGTCGGGATACCGCGGCAAATTCAAATATACTGTCTGGAAGAGCTTGTTTATGAGGGTAGAGAATATCTAAATCCTGAGTATCCACTTTTTTCAAAACTTCTTTTCTCTGACGCACCTTTGATGTAGTGAGGATTCTTAGTGCTCTGAATATTTCTAGCTATAGTGTTGAGCTCGACTGAATTATTAAGGGTAGAGAATATCTAGATCCTGATTCGATCCACTTTTATTCAACAATTATTTTTTGTGGCGAACATTGCACCTAGCGAGGATTGCTAGTACTCTTAGAATTTCTTGCTGTAATTTTGAGCTCAATTGAATTATGACTCATTTTTGTGCAAATTATTTTATTCTGTCTTGGGTACACATGTTCATTTATGAAATAATTTAGAAACTAAATAAAAAATCATGCATATTGAAGAGTAGACGTTTAGTTAGCGTAACAGACTTTTGCAAAACATTAATAGGATTTTATGCACCATCAAATCATCAAAACAAGACCTTATTTTTGCATTGTAGCTAGTATTTCAATTTCCAGTTAATTGTCAAGAGGAAGATGGTCCTTACCATGGCAAGTACATTGGAAAATTCAATTCCTATCATCATCAGGTATCAGGCGATATCCACGCTGTTGACGAAAGAACATTACTACTAAAATCATTTAGTTACGATGGTAATGGTGCAGATACCTTTTTTTGGGCTGGGTCCGTTAATCGGCCTGGACCCCAAGGATTCATAGTTCCTGATGCCGATGGAAAGTAGGTATTGTTTTTAGTATATCAGCGCTAGACAAGCTCTCAAAATAGTAATAGTCTGAAGAAGAATCATTACAGTCGGCTGCGTTCCTTAAAGTTTTTGTGTCTATCTGAATTTAATTATGAATTCGCATTTGTTGCTTTTTTAGGTAGACCCCCATTTCAATGGAACCTTGCCATTTTCACTTGTGAATGTTTATCCTTACTTCTTACTTACGGCGTTTAAAGAGCTATATCGGCGAATGACATACAATTCACTGAAACTTCCGAAAGAGGCGGAGTAGAAGTCCCAATCTGAAGATTATTTTGAATTATTAAAGCAACTTCGGAATTGGTCAACATATACCGCCGGCACATGTACTGAAGCGCCACCAATTACTTATGCGTGACGAACACCAGCTTTGGGCGTCAGCGTTGCCAGCTCTTGGACTGTTGGGATAGGTTATGGACAGTGTCGGATTAAACCAGCGCAGGAGCTGTAGCAAATTATATCGAAGAGCGTAGGGGTGGACCTAGAGAGAAATTTGGGGGGAGGGGTATATAAGGAAAATGAATTGCTTGCGGGAGGGGAGGAGTGATGGATGCTGTATCAGTGCTTCTGAGAGCGGGAGTATCGATGATTGAAAATTGAAGAAGTGGGGGTAAGTGATGGTGGCTGCATCAGTACTTTCCCCCAAGGAGAGATAAAGCCTTGGCGGGAGACTGGTTATGGAATTTCTTTTTCATTGTTGAGAAGTTCTGAGAATACAAAACCTTAGGAATAATTACGAAGCTGATGGAGTTGTGATCTTACCTTGGTCGAAGTCAAGTTCAAAAATAAACATTTTTCTTTAAAAGGGAAATGGAGTTTGTTTTTATTCTTTGTATTTGATATTCAAATACAGCTTAGGGCTGAGCGTTCTCTTAGTTGATACCTAATCAATGGTTTAAGGGCCATTTCGTCAGTCGTTCCTGCAATTGTAGGACGTCTTCTTTATGGCCTCATTGATTGTCATAGTCCTCTCTATCCTTCAAAAATTTCTAGATTGCACCTGTTCCGTGTCAGCGTCAGCGTTCTCCTATTGTGAAGTTATGTTTTCTTTTTGAATTGTATAACATTTCAGGCTGATGAAACATAATATAAATCAAAAGCACGAACGATCTGATGCAAGTAGATACATGTGACATAACCTCAAAATAGAGCGCTGCCATGGAAAAGTAGAAAACTATGAAAATCAACGAGGCCATAAAGGCGTCCTACAATAATTGTAGGAACGACTGACGATAAGGCCCTTAGTGTTCTCGAACTCTGTAGCTTGTCTAACGGTGAACTAAAAAAATATTTTCTAATCACTGTTTTAGACGCTGAAGGTAAAAAATTTAATATATTTTCTCTGATTCAGCTTATAGAAAATTCTTTTCATTTAACAACCTGCAAACAATAGTTTTCTTTTCCTGATCCACCTTCCAATAATTTAAGAATAAACCAAAGTAAAATCCTTTTTGATGGTAAATGACACCCAACCCTGCTTAACAGACGATGTAACGTGTTTGTTATGACGCTAAGGTGGGCACCTTCTCGGAGATTAGATTAATTAGTGGTTTCGGGCTAATTTGTACCATATGACTTCTACTAATTTTAATTCTAACGAACATCATCGATGTAAAATACCTTATGACTTGCAAAAAGATTTTGTTAAAGTATAAAATAAATATGTTCTATAACCTAATCTTTGATGATCTTCCAGAACTAACGTTCTTGAAAGATACTTCAACAAGGACTTCACACTCACACTACCAGACAAAAAGAAAATCACAGACATCAAATGGTTCGCCATTTATGATATCTGGAGTCAAAATACATTCGGGGATATCTACATTCCCGAAGGATTCGAACCACCTACTGTACAAAAAATTGCTTTGCTAACAGGCAAGACAAATGCAATCACCACCTCAGCGGTCGAAATATTGGATGCGAAGCGTATACGGCTGAATCAGTTTACTTATGATGGCAAAGCAAAAAAGGCGTATTTTTGGGTGGGGGTGGGAGCACAACCAGTGGTTAAAGGGATCAAGGTACCTGATGAGTATGGGTAGTAAGTATAACATTTATTTATTTATATATAGGAAAATAAACCAGCTCAACAAATTCGAATTCTACACCAAATTTGAAACAGCATATCTTGAGCTAATCTAACGCTTTTGCACAGTCAGTGTAACAGTAGGACAAGTTGACTGCCACCCAAGATCTCAGGTGCTAAATGTAAGATCTCTATTGTCCGAGAAGGCGGTCCTAGGATCTTTGCCTCTGTGTCAAAGTACGTCAGTTTGTTCTTCTGTCGACATGGTAACTCAGAAACAAGACTTAATTAATAGAAAGAGGCTGAAGTCGAAGAGAAAAAAGAATGAAAAAAGAGGGAGAGCATTACTGTAATAATTTTGGATGCCGAAAAAGAATTTGATAGGAGTTTTGTTAAAATATTATTTTATATTACACGAAATTGCGCGATTCAATTTTGTTCACAGTGTGAGTCGCGGATGCTAAATGCGTAATGGCCATTAAATAAGTTGTAATGCATGTGTGATGAGAAACTCATAGATCGAACAGCAACGGCCAAGTCTAAACCAGTGGTCGCCAACCTTTTCAGTGTGTTGAGCTACTTTGATAATTTTGGAATAAATAATGAGCTAGCTACCTGGCTGTAAACAATGTAAGCCACCTTAAATGAAATTATACACACTTGTATGCGACATACATGTTTTTATTTTACCAATACTGATACATACTAACAAACTTAAATAAACTAATAACTAATACATACTACATAATTACATCCATTCCTACCAATAAAAATAAACAAAATTTTTCGTCAGATACAATGGCATGTCACATACGATTTAATAAAGGTCACTAAAAATAAAAAAAGCATCGCACTATTTTAAAGAAAAATATATCCAGATAAAAAATGCTTGTTCAATGAGAAGGCTGACACTCAGACTCACTGACAATTTTTTTAATGTTTGTAGTATAATTTGATACCGCCTTTCGAATACAATTATCCAAATGTTCATCTGTAAGTCGATTACGGTATTTGTTTTTAATAAACTTCTTATCTGAAAAAGAAGATTCACACAAATAGGTTGAACTAAATGACGCTTTCACTTTCAAGGCTAAACGACATAAAACTGAATATTTATCTTTGCTTACTGAAGGTCAGGCACATTTTGTAATTGAGACTAATGATTTTAAAGCTAAATAATTTTGAAACGCAATCACTTCCTTTTCTGTCGCAGCCATGTCTTTGCTAAAATTCTGCGTAACAGAAGCTGCAAACTGTTGGATAGGATCTCAATTTCCATGAAGGGTGAAACAACAAATTGCGCCACTATAGCAATTTCGTTGAAATTCTTGAAACGATTTTTGAAGTTGGCATTCAAGTTAGAGACTATTTAATTTAAGATATCTTTTCTGAAAGAACAGGAAACTGTCTGGTATCGCCATCGACTAAGTTTTGTTCCCAAAACTTAAGCCTTTTGATAAACGCTTTTATATCAGAAATCATTTCTGCTAGTTCTTTGTCTCTCCCCTGAAGCTGCAAATTAAGTTAATTTAATTTTTCTATAATATCCACAAGAAAACCAAAATCTCGTACCCTACTTAACCATCGTACTTCAGAGTGAAGATGTAGTTCCCCGTATTGACAGTCAATTTCATTGGCCAAAGTTTTGAATAATCGTCTTTTTAACGCTCAAATCTTGTTCACAATTTTTACTACTAATTTGTCCACATAATGCTTGCTGATGGATAAGGCAGTAACAGAGAAATTGCGGGAGACTTTCATCTTTACGACATAACCCCACGAGACCCTTATAACGACCCACCATAGCTTGAGCGCCATCGGTTGTCAAGCCTACCATTTTCAATATTGGAATTTTCTCAGAAGAAATAATATTTTTAAAAGAAGAAAACAAGTCCTGCCCAGTGGTCTGTCCTTTTAGTGGAATAAGCTTCAAAAGATCTTCTTTAATCGTAAAATCCATAAACACCATCTTAATGAACACGGCCATCTGAGAGGTGTCGACAACTGTAGTGCCTCTCAATATTCCCCTTTTTTAGCGACGGAAACAGGTGTATTGCATAACAAACATACATTTTTACCTTTAACTTCTGTAAAGAAATATTGTTCTCCCCATTCTGAATGGAAATGGTATGTCTTCATCTTCTTACTACTGCTCATGTTTTTAATTGAAGTCCAACTCTAATCCACCCGCTGGACTTTGTGCCGTTCAGTTTTAAACTGAGCGCACTGTCGCCGCGCATTGCGGATTTATTCCGTTCAAAGTAATCGAGTTCGTTCTGGAACAGATCGCAGCTTCTGCTTATTATGAGAGTTTATAAAATTTATGGAAGCTTCTATGATTTTTACACCTTTTTAAAATATGTTGTGAGCAACCAGAATTGCCTTTGCGAGCTACCGGTAGCTCGCGATCGACTGGTTGGCGACCACTGGTCTAAACAATATTTCACGAGTATACATCACGTTTTGACGTCTACTGAGGTGAACAGCTTATCATATACTGACATCTTTGTCATTTGTCGATATGGGGAACTATGAAATATTACCAGATAATCAGCTGTTATTCTACCGTAATGGATACTCGTGAAAAAGACAATATACAGCTTTTCTGCTTATAGAGAGTTTATAACTTTTAACAGCTTTACCCTACTTTAAAGTCATTTTATCAGTATAGTCATCTCAGAATTTTCAATATATATTTGCAATATCACCAAAAGATAGATAAATTTATTGTAATCACATTTAAATATTATTGAACAACAATAAATCGATCCGTCCTTTTTTCAATCTGCGGTCAGAAAAGAATTCGTAGGAAGAGGAACCTGATTATTAAAAATGATCCCTTGTGCCTTCACACCGTATAAATTTTTTAAGTATTATTGAACAACAATAAATCGACCCGTCCTTTTTTCAATCTGCGATCCGAAAAGAATTCGTAGGAAGAGGAACCTGCTTATTAAAAATGATCCCTTTTGCCTTCACACCGTATAAATTTAATCCATTATAGGACATAAATAAATTGCAAGATGTTGTTTAGCACTTGATTCTTCTCGTGCTCGCCGCCCTCATAGACGATACAAATCTAACCGTAAAAAGAGCATAAACACGCATTTGTGTTGCCTCCGGTTAGAAACTAAGCACAACACTAATGCGATTAAACTGTGCAAGCACGTGAGCGAACATTTCATTGTCTATGAATTTAGTAAGGGGGAAGGGGTCGAAAGTTAAGCGTTAATAGTTATGACGACGCATGAAATCGCCATTTAAAGGGTCTAAATAGCTTACAAAGGATTTTGTGCTGGATTTAGCGCCCTCCCAAATTCGCCGTTCCGTTTGATTCAGATTGATGAACGTCGCTCACAGGTGGCTCACATTGTATATGCACCCTCACTTAGTTTTTTCAATTCTTGGACTGCCTCTTATATTGTATAGTCTGGACACCATTACACAGGTTTTTCTACTTGCCTATTCGCCTCAGAGCATGATTGAAAAAATGTCATCAAGTAGGCTGACTCTGCACTTCCCACGAAACGCCGTCATCAGTTCATAAAGGAATAAGTTCAGAATAATTAGTCCCTCTGAGAAAAAAGTTAGGACATGTATAACAGAGAAATTAAATGGATCAAGTGGGTCAAATACGCCCACACAATTAGTCCATAGGGATTGTTTACATTGCTTTATCAGTAGTACCGTCCATCTGGACACTGAGAAAAAAATTAATTAAATCAACTGAAATTTTAATTAGGCCAAATAAACAATTTAATTAAGTATATAACAGATAACTAGTTTAATTTAACTCTGATTTCTAGAACAGTTTACTTGAATCTATGAATAAATATACAGGGTGTTTAAGTTTATTGTTGCATAACTTTAAGATTCGATAGAACTTTTAAAATTAATGCATAAAGTCTATAAACATGGGTCGAAAAATGCGTGGCTTCCGAAATACAGGGTGATTAAATTTACTTTCCTAAATAGTTTTTTTTAAATATTACGAACAATATTTGATGGATAACAGTGAAAATTGGTATACAAGGGTTTTTTGGTACGAAAAAACGAACCATGGTCATAGTTTTACTGTAGCCGCTAGATGGCGCTCTCTACTGTACCTGTAGTGTATTAAAATGATCGAAAAATTTTACTTATTGCAACTTTTTGCTTTTTGAATGAAAAAACTGATTCTTCGCACTTTTCAACATAAAAAAGCTCTCCTGTGAGTTTTCGTTATAGTTAGCCGTTTTTGAGATACTACGATTTTTAAGGTTCGATGCATTTTTAATTATTTATGGGAAAATAATATTTTTTTACATTTTCGATTTGGGCATTACAAGTAATTAAGATGATCGTTTAGACTGTGTTTTTAAACACAGCAATAAATCCTAACTCCAAATAAACACAAAAAAACAGAATACTAATTTGTTTAATTTTCCAATATTATTTTTAACAAATTAAATTAATTATTTACCACTAAAATGCTATTGGTTAGTTGGGACAAACATACAAAATCTAAAGTAGTTGCTCGAAATGTAAACCCAATTGTTCAATACACAATTCAAATCTACGAATGATCGAACGTGGTATAGCATTATTCAAAGAAGGCCTTATTTCATCACATGCAT